TCCACATGTTACATAAAATTCGACCTTACTTATAAATATGGGCACTGGTGTATTTTGAAGTTTTGAAGACGCTGGATCGTCTCAGATCATCATCAGAACCCTTCTTTCTTGCTTCGCTGGCCATATTTATCGATAGTGATGTATGGTCTTTATTAGATTCTGTCTGAAGCTGGCTTTATTGCTGGCTACTGCTTCCCAATTACCAAAAGCAATAAATTCAATTCTTTATGTCCATCAACCCTTGCTTATTGACGTATACATTAATACACAAAAATCAACCAAAAAGTTTTATTGGAAGTACACACAAAAATGTCTAAATCCGAAAAGCCGAAATTGAAGAAAAACTTATCATAATCCCAGTTTATAAACAAAAAAAAAACAGCAATAACAAACGGTCTGGAATTACCACGAAGACACTTACTTATCAAGCATTTAACTCTTTAATCTAAGAATAAGTTGAAAAATTCTCAGCACGTCCTATAAACAATTCTGTTCAATGAATATCAAATAAACTCGGAAGCATCGGAATGATGTGAATGACATTCGTGTCATCAATGCCTATGACATATATGCTGTTGTAAATAATCAAATTATTTATTAGGTGCATAACACAAAATGTTAATCGAACGTGCTTATCGATGACACGTAAATGTCGAGTATTTATGTCTATACCTTATCAATTAATCCATACGAGAAAAACCCCAGCAACAAAAAGGAATTTAGTAACTTTTTTTTCTTATCGATACTTTTTATTAGATCCCCAACATGTCCATAATGATAATGATAGCGAGGTTTATCGAGAAAAATTTCCAAATGTCTGCGACGCATTCACACAAAATGCCGGGAAATGTTGCAGTGAAAAGACCTTGAAACGAAGACTTCCAATCCTTACGTGGATGCCTAAATATACATTTTCAACTTTATTTTATGATACAGTAGCTGGATTATCAGTAGGATTAACAGTCATTCCGCAAGGTAAAAGTATTGTAGCGTCATATTTTAAGACATGAATTAACAGTTAAGCTTTGTTAAGGTATTGCATATGCTGTGGTTGCTGGACTACCACCGCAATATGGATTATACAGCAGCTTTATGGGCTGCTTTATGTACACAATATTTGGAAGTTGTAAGGTCAGTGATTTAATATGATTATTGCATGTGCTTACTTTATTCAATTGTCTATATTCGTGGGAAAATGTGAAGTAAATAAACTTTCATTCATATAGGATATAACAATCGGACCTACAGCTATCATGTCATTGATGATTTATTCAGCTGTCTACAACTTGAGTATAGATTTTGCAATTCTTGGTGAGTAGCTGTTGATTTTATGAAGGATTCAAACTTTCCAGCCTCGATATATCGATGCAAAAAGTAAAAACCTTTTTAACATGACACTATCTTGGACCTTGTTCACATGCTTAAGAATGTTTTGACAAAAATCTCGGATAATCTGAAGATGAAAAGTTTAACCTTAAAATTGGAAAATTTGAGTCTAATAGCAAACCGATGAGCTTAATCAGGTGTAATAAACCAAAACTTGTCGATAACTAAAATCAATCTATAGACATATTTATGTCATTCCAATTTAAGTGTATCAGCCTAGCCCTAATACTTTGCCCCACATCTGTTCAATAGGCAGTTTTCTATTTGATAAGATTAGACATTTATGTAATAGCTTATAGCCTTGGCTTGTTTATATTGTTTGTCAACATTATCTGATTTATTTTTTGTTTCTTTTGTTTATCCAGGAACCTTCCTTAGTGGCTTAGTCATCTTATTCCTTGGAGTATTAAATCTAGGATTCTTAGTTCAATTTATTAGCATGCCAACGATTATAGCATTTACAACAGGTAATTTAATGACCCCAATTATAAGCCTTATCTATCTATACGGGAAGTGTTAGAGGGTAAAATTCAAGTGTCACGCGCTTTAACATTCGCTTTAGATTTTTTTTTTTTTGATGTGATTAACTCGAGTGGAAGACGCTATTATCGGTCAAATCCAATTGACTACGTGCCTAACCAATTTTTATATTAATATTCTCTCAATTTCCAAATGAAATAGCTGCAACAGTCACAATTGGCAGCAGTCAGGTGAAGCCACTTTTAGGAATCAAGAGTGGAACGAGTAATGAATTTATAGAGTCATGGAAGAATGTATTTTTCCACTTAGATGAAGTTAGATACACAGACACAATTCTTGGAGTGATATCATTAGCACTTTTGTTAATTATGAAGAAGCCTACATGTCTGTCAAGATGGAAAGTATTAAGCAAATATTTATCGATATCAAGGAACGCAATTATTGTTGTGGTTGGAATTATTGTTGCGTATTTGTTCCACGTTAATGGACAGGATCCATTTTTATTGACTGGAGAGATTGCCAAAGGTTTACCTGAATTCAAAGTACCACCGTTAGAGACAACATTTAAGGATCAACATTACAGCTTTATGGACATGTTTAATGCTTTAGGATTGTCATTAGTCACATTACCATTAGTTTCTATTCTTGAGTCTGTGGCTATTGCCAAGTCATTCTCCAAAGGAAAAGTCGTAGATGCTACACAAGAAATGATTGCATTAGGTCTGTGCAATGTTGCATCAGCCTTCTTTCAATCGATTCCAATAACCGGGTCATTCACAAGAACAGCTGTGAACCATAATTCGGGAGTGAAAACTGCATTTGGCGGTGTCATTACTGGATTTGTTGTGCTATTAGCTTTAGGTTTGCTCACTGGAACTTTCTACTTTATTCCAAAGACAACGTTAGCTGCTGTAAGTAGAACACTAAGGTATACAAGTATCAAATAACCAAATGAATCTCATGTACTAGGTCATCATAGCAGCAATGATCTCAATGGTAGAAATCCACGAAATAAAGGAGATTTATAGAACAAAACGTATGGACATCATTCCATTCCTTGCTACATTCCTCGTTAGTTTATGGCTTGGATTGGAATTCGGTATTATTGCCGGTGTTTTCATCAATATGATTATGATGCTTTACATATCATCACGTCCACTTATTGACTATGAAATCGAAAAGGTAAGTAAACTTATAAAAAATAAGTTTTGTGGATGATAATTGAGTTGGTCAGAGTTTGGTACATGTAGATTAGGTCTAGACAGTTAGTTCCATCAATTCTGCACCCTTCTTACCAAAAAAGATCAACTTTAGATTTTCAATAATTCATTAGAACTTATTATTGAATTTAGTAAGATATTTTTTTTTTATTAATTTTGATATTTTCCTTCTTATGCTGCTTATCAATCAATTTCAATCATACAAGGAACTAAATAGGTTAATAAAAACAATTACATTATATGATTATGTCATAAAAGCAGATCCCAGTCTGAAGATATTTCACTTTTAATTATTCATTCATTAACTTCCTTTATAAAAAGTTTATCTTTATAATTGTTAATCTTCTTTAATTAAAGGTAAATGACACGGACATATTAATTGTAACCCTTGATCAAAGTTTGAACTACTTATCGGCTGAGTACTTCAAAACAGCGGTAGAAAAGAAAGTCATTGCAGAATATCCAAGTGTTGATCATGTCTTTATCAATGGAATGTCAATAAATTATTCTGTCGATGTTACGGTTGTTAAAGTAAGTGTGCAGCATGAAGGACTATTTGATTAATATTGTAATGACATTAATAATTTCATTAACCTAGAATATTGTTGCCTTGGTTGAAGACTTAAAAGTTTGTAAGAAGCAAATTTACTTCCTAAACTGGAGAAAGGATGCATTCCATCTAGTCATGAGATATAAGCGAGAATATTATGATTTATTTAAATTTGGCAGTTCAATTAGTGAAATTTTGATGCTAGAAGCCAAAGAGAAGGGCGATGAACAACAGCTGTCAGATGTTATTGCAGATGAATAGTTAATTTTTAAAGTACCTTAGTTATTTAATGACATGTCCAGTTTTGTATTGTTACATTTTTTATATAAATTATTTGTTAAAAATTGAGGTTGCTACTTAGTTATGTCGAGTGATATGATGTGCCTTAGAATAAAATATTGATCGATTTTTAAATATATTTACTTAACAGTTACTTCTTTGTGTTAATTTTTGTATGCTTTTCATGAACCATCAACGATTTACTTAAGATTGACAAATTTCTGCGAAGCATGAGAAGTGAGAAATTACTAATTGTTAATGTCTACAGGTAAACTATTTTTATACAAACGATTCTAACAAGTTACTATAAATATAAGCTGCTAAAATTATCTGGAAATGGCAAGTAATGGAAATTTTTCATAATCTTGTCTTTAAAAGAATTCAAAAACATGTTAATTCAATCTTATAAGCTACTCCAAGTCTAATTCTTTGTTTTCCATGCCGATAATATTGAGCATTTCTGTCATAGCAGAGAATAGTACCGTATCTTTACATTACAAAATGGCAAGTTGCATTAAGTACATTCCAAATAGATAGAATTTACTTTCATTCACAACGTGTTTAGATGAAACTTTTCAGCTATGCACTTCAACGAACTTTATTTTAAACTTATCAATGAATTTTCATTCCCCTCGCAAATTGGCGCGAAAATGTTTTCTCTGAATCAACAAACAAAGAAGCAACAGGTCGGTGTGTTGTTTAAACAGAATGATCTAAAATGCAGACTTGGAGCTTATTTAATTTAAAATTTCAGTTGACAAGAATTTAATATCTTTAAAATTCATAAATAAATTTTTTTGAAAACCTTTGTTGAGGTAGTATATGAAACTTATTATGAGAGAGTTGGAGGTTTTGCTTGAAGCTGCAGCTTTGTTATAACTTTCAGTGTTTCAAGCGTTATGTCACAGTATCACTGTCATGATTTAATCTTAATTCAACTTTCAAATTACGATTAGAATTTCGAAATGCACAAATTTCAACAAATTTCCAACTCTGCATTAATGTTTTGATATTTGATATTAAGAATGTTTACTTCTGTTTACAGTTTAAAACATTCATTCTAGCATTTGTTTGTACTTCATTTCATAAGAAGTGCTGAGTATATCATATTGAGTTTCTGCATTACTTCCTGTCAATTTCATTCAATGACTGAATATTCTCCAATTAACAGACGTACGTATTGTTAAACTTAAAATGAAAAGTGATCAAACTTGTTCATCATTTGATTGTTGATCTAAAAGCTAATCCAGTTCTAAAGAGTTCAATCTCTTAACAATTTTCGAGACATAAACAAAGATTATATTACACTAAGAATTCGCTTACGTCACAGAATGCATCAAAAACGACTGTAGACAAGCGAAACTTGATAAGCACGAAAACATATGATTGAAACAAAAATCATTTTCGTCAATATTCGGCAATAAAACAATAATATTGAATTAAATGAACAGTTGTTTCGATTTTAAGTCACTTATTTATGTGTCAATCATTCAATCAAGTGGCTGCTTCTATTAAGAAGGCAGTGTGTGATTTGGAAGTTTGAATCGGTTTTGTTGATATTAAAATTACAATATTGTAAAGTTTGATAGAGTGACAAACTTCGAGTAAAGATGATTAGAAGAAAAGGTTGAAATTTTGAAATTTTTGAAGATTAAATGGGCAAGATCAAAAATGAATTGTTCGTGACGCTTAACAATAATTTACAATTTTTGAATCAATAATGCGAAATATGTATTTAAGACTTGTGTTTTTCTTAAAGTCCTTGCCAAGACCTATATTTTGGTGTATAACAAGTATCTCTTAGACATTGTATTATAATTAAAAATTAATATAAAGTGCTAAGCGTCACGAACAATTTTGAGGAAATTCGATTTTACACCATGTTGCAAATGTAATATCTCTGCGAATACTTCATTAATCAAAACGATTTTTTCACCAGATAATTAAGTAATCAGATCATTAAAAGTTTTGTCTAAAATATACAAAATGGCGGATTTGTAAGTTAGCTTAATTGAGCTTTAAAATGTTGAAGCTGAAATTTTGATATGAAGGAAATAGTTTAGGAACTATCTTTCTTTACAAAAAAGGTTATATATGTAATTTTCTTTAAGTCTGTGAGAGAAAATTTTCAATTTTACTATAATTATCCAAGTTATGATGAGTTTTACAAAACTAGTCATAAGTCATTGCTGTGTTATTCGTCTACTGATTTTTTCATTTCAAACTATAGAATTCAACAATGTTTATCATATTGCAAAAGAAATATTACTTTTTGTTCAAGACAAGCAGAGAAAATTAAATTATAGTAAAAAATTTGACCAAAAATTTTGTAACGGTTTTTAAAATTATAAATTTGTGAGCAAATAAGAGCAAAATTTGTTGCTCAACTTAAATTTCATTGTTTTTATAGTTAATTTAACTTACTTTTAAGCCTTTTTCTAATGTAAATTAAATAGTAAAAGACTCTTTAGATATCAAGTAATTGTTCTTGACCGATTAAGGTTAATAGTTTTGATTTAAAAATACATTTTACATTCAATTTGGTTGTCAGTTAATTTAACTAAAATAACTCATTTTTAATAAAATCTATTTTGATCATATGATAGAAAAAAGCACGCTCTACAACTTTTGTCAAGCTTCCAAACATTCATCTTGCTTTCTTTTCAAAGAAAAATCGATTTCAAATATTAATTTGTTAATTAAACTAACTCAATAAGTCGCCATTTTGAAAAATGAATGTTAAAAAGAAACTTACTATTATTAGCTATCATGTAGTGAAGGAATCATATTAATTAAGTTATTAAAAGCAGAGAAATCTGAATTTGAATATTTATTCCCTTTTTTTCTGATCTTGCCCAAATGTTGTTCACGTGGAGTTTATAACGTTGGAAGTCAAAATATTATGATAGAGGAATCGAGATTTTTGAGATAGTTTTTCACGTCAAATTCACCTTCAAGATTAAATTCTCAAGTGATTTGAAATCTCGTCATTTAAATGGTTTTTAAATTAATATTTAATCACCTGATCAGATCAAGCACTTCAATAGCAATTTTTTTTTTGTTTTTATCAAAGCTTCAAATCCAAACAACGATGAAAATTTTCATGAAGAGTATCCAAACATATGCAACACTTTAAGACAATGTCCAGGAAAATGTTGTAGTGAAAAGGCATTGAAAAGTCGCCTTCCGATTCTTGAGTGGCTTCCAAAGTACAGCACATCAACATTTTTTTGTGACATTGTTGCGGGAATATCTGTGGGATTGACAGTCATCCCTCAAGGTAGGATTTGATGCATCTATAATGTTTGGGTTTGAGAATTTCTTTAAATTTACAGGAATCGCTTATGGAATTGTTGCCGGCTTACCTCCACAGTATGGCTTATATAGCAGTTTTATGGGATGCTTTGTCTACACAATTTTCGGCAGTTGTAAGGTATATTTAAAAACCGGTCGTCAAAATATGTAAATTTATTTTACTTACCTTGAGATCAGACATTGAAAGATTATTGACTTTTATTATCATGATATTTTCTAATCTAGGATGTATCGATTGGACCTACAGCTATCATGTCATTGATGATTTATCCTTTTGTGGCTAATTATAGTTTAGATTTTGCAATTCTTGGTAAGTTAATGTCCAATATGTAATATCTTAACTGGTTCAGATTAAAAACACTTTTATCAACAGCAAACTTCCTGTGTGGCTGTGTCATCCTTATTCTGGGAGCACTAAATTTAGGATTTTTGATTCAATTTATTAGTTCACCGACAATCATTGCATTTACAGCAGGTAAGTTCTATAAAGAAATAATTATAACGACTTAGGAGTTTAAAATTAATTCGGGTCCATATCAACTTCGATCTTTGATCGAAATCAATAACAATAATTCTTTCATAACTAATAGCTGCATCAATAATCATCGGAAGTAGTCAAGTAAAGCCATTGTTAGGAATCAAAAGTGGCTCAGGAAGTGAATTTGTACAAGTGTGGAAAAATGTGTTTACCCATCTCCATGAAATCAGATACACAGACGCACTCTTTGGATTATTTTCGCTAGTTCTTCTGCTTTTGATGAAAAAGCCCAAGTGCTTCTCAAGATGGCCATTACTCAGCAAATATTTGTCGTTGTCACGAAACGCAATTGTTGTAATTATTGGTATCATTACTGCTTATGTTTTCTACTTGAATGGACAAGAACCATTTAGACTTACTGGAGATATTAAGAAGGGTTTACCAGATATTGTAATTCCACCATTTAGCACTGAACTAATTGGAAAACATTACAACTTTCTTGAAATGGTTGAAGTTTATGGATTGTCGCTGATTACAATTCCACTTGTGTCAATCCTTGAAATCATTGCTATATCCAAGGCGTTCTCAAAGGGCAAAGTTGTGGATGCTACTCAACAAATGGTTGCTTTAGGCCTCTGCAACATCGCATCTTGTTTTTTTCAATCAGTTCCTGTAACTGGGTCATTTACAAGAACAGCAGTGAATCACAATTCAGGGGTAAAGACTACATTTGGAGGTGTCATTACTGGAATCATTGTCCTGCTAGCATTAGGTTTACTTACCGGGACATTCTACTTTATTCCAAAAACAACTTTAGCTGCTGTAAGTAGAATTTTAAGGAAGAAGTAAGCAATGTTCAAACAATTATCATCCTATAGGTAGTCATAGCCGCAATGATTTCAATGATTGAAACCCACGAAATACTTGAAATTTACAGAACAAAAAGAATGGACATTATTCCATTTATTGTCACATTTGGAATAAGTTTATGGCTTGGACTTGAATTTGGAATTGTGGCAGGTGTTCTTGCTAACATGATTTTAATTCTTTACATGACATCACGTCCGCGAATCGATTATGAAACCGTACAGGTAGGCTACACTTCACATGTTCCTTTGTTGTTTATCAAGCTATGAATGATTACAGATTAATCACATGAATGTACTTGTTGTCAATTTTGACCAAAGTTTGAACTACTTATCAGCTGAATATTTTAAAACTTCAGTCGAGAGAAAGGTTATTACAGAATTTTCAAATGTACAGCATGTTTTCATCAATGGAATGTCAATTAACTACACTGTTGATGTTACAGTCGTTAAAGTAAGTCGATAGCACTGATTTATTTGCCTAAATCATCAATAAAACTAGTATATCGGGTAGAAACCCAATGCGAATATATTCACACCGTACCATCAAAAGTCTTATGGATAGACCAAGATTTGCTCAGCATAAGTTTGAAGGGTGAGCGTGAAGTACGGCCGAGACCCATATCGACACAGTTCAAAAGTTATACCTAATTTATGTCATAATTATGTCAGCTACAAAAACACTTAGTTTGAATTTTGTCACTTTCGGGAACACTATGAACCAGTATACCTGATTTTGGTCCAAATCTCGGCCATACTTCACACTTTTTTGAACCACATTTTCTCGTAAATGTTAAAATATTATTAAAAAGTTATTAATCCTGAATTATGTCGCTATTTTGTCAAGTGTTTTAAGATAAAGAATTTGTTTTTTGGTTTCCACAGTGAAGAGTATGAACAAAATTCAGATGGGGTAGTCGAAATTTTAGATTTCGATTTTTTTTAAGCTATGCATTACAAAAAGTAATATTGGTATGTGATTTATGTCAGAATTGTGTCAATTCAAATACAACATCCAAAAAATTTTTTTGACAAAAGTACACCATAGAAAATCAATTTTCAATTTTGGACTAGGGGCGACCCTAGTCAAAATCAATTTTGTCACTTTTTTCTTCGAGGGTTTATCCAAATGGATTGAAACTTTGCATAAATATTCTAGTGCTTAAAACAAATACAAATAAAACATCCTAAAATTTTTTTGAGCAAAGAACCAAGTAGGAAATACAATTTAAATTTTGGACTAGGGGCGACCCTAGTCAAAATCAATTTTGTCACTTTTTTCTTCGAGGGTTTATCCAAATGGATTGAAACTTTGCATAAATATTCTAGTGCTTAAAACAAATACAAATAAAACATCCTAAAATTTTTTTGAGCAAAGAAACAAGTAGGAAATACATTTTCAATTTTGGACTAGGGGCGACCCTAGTCAAAATCAATTTTTTCACTTTTTTCTTTGAGGGTTTATCCAAATGGATTGAAACTTTGCATAAATATTCTAGTGCTTAAAATAAATACAAATAAAACATCCTAAAATTTTTTTGAGCAAAGAACCAAGAAGGAAATACATTTTCAATTTTGGACTAGGGGCGACCCTAGTCAAAATAAATTTTCACTTTTGTCACTTTTTTCTTCGAGAGTTTATCCAAATGGATTAAAACTTTGCATAAATATTCTAGTGCTTAAAAAAAATACAAATAAAACATCCTAAAATTTTTTTGAGCAAAGAACCAAGAAGGAAATACATTTTCAATTATGAACTTGGGACAGGTCCAGTCAAAATCTAGTTTTTTACTTTTTTCTTCGAGAGTAAATCCAAATACAGTAAAACTTTGTATGAGCATTCTAATCTTCAGGTCACACATTTCTGAATTAATAAAAATCATTTTTTTGGAAAAAATTTTAAGTCACGTTGTTTTTGAATGTACAACCAAATTTATAAAATTTGGGTCTGACGACATATAGAATACATTTCTTGCTTTAAATATTTAAAACTGTTTTGTATAAATATTAGTATACTCACACAAAGTTTCACTGTAATTGGATAAACCTTCGAAGAAAAAAAGTGAAAAACTAGATTTTGACTAGGGTCGCTCCTATTCCAAAATTGAAAATGTATTTCCTACTTGGTTCTTTGCTCAAAAAAATTTAGAATGTTTTATTTGTATTTGTTTTAAGCACTAGAATATTTATGCAAAGTTTCAATCCATTTGGATAAACCCTCGAAGAAAAAAGTGACAAAATTGATTTTGACTAGGGTCGCCCCTAGTAGGGTTGGGGGAATCTGTTAACAGAAAACAGAAAAACAGCTGCTTTTCGACAAAAATTTGTTAACAGAAAACAGGTCTCAAAAACAGATCTGTTTTCTGTTTTTCATTTTTACATAAAATTTACAGAAAAAAAAATTTCTTAATTTTTTGAAGAACTTAATATTTATTTTTCTAGCATTTCAAATTAAAATGTATTTACTGGTATTTACTATTTTAATATTTTTTGGATGTTTAATAGGTTTGAAATCATTATCAAATTTATGGTTAATCATTATTAATTTTGCAATCGAAATTTTAAATTTGTTGAACCTTTTGTAGCATTTACTAAAGTTTAAAAATATAATCAACAATTTTACAAGATATTTTTTTATTCAGAAAGATTTTTTGTATATATTTCATTATATTTGTTTTATATTTCATTATATTTTTTAGAGTTAATTAACATAAAAAATAAGAAATAATAATGCTTAGCTCTAAAATGTATGCTTAACTGCTTATAACCACCAAAAAGTTTCATTATCTTAGAGAAACACTTAAGATAACTCAGTTTATTTTGAATTCTAGAAAAACACGAAAACAGCTGTTTTTAAAAATCAAAAACCGAAAACAGACTGTTTTTCAAAAACAGCTGTTTTCCACAAACCCTAGCCCCTAGTCCAAAATTGAAAATGTATTTCCTTCTTGGTTCTTTGCTCAAAAAATTTTTTTCATCCAAAGTTTAATTTAAAAAAAAATCACAGTGAACTTTTAATTTGAAAAATTCGTAAGAAAGGAAAGTTTTTTGCTTTTTCTGAAGCAATGGCTGTTCCTACCTTGCCCAAAAACAATACAGCTCTTCTATAGAGCAACACGGATCAAATGTTAAAAACTAGAAGTCTCTACGATGTCTCGTTATTGAGATTTCTTGCTGATTAACTTACTTGTTTGCTTGCTTACAGAAAGCATATTTTGCGATTTTCTCAGCAATGCCGCAAAAATTTGAAATCTCTTTTTTGCAAAAGATGTGAAATTCAAAGCACAAACTTTTCATTTCTGAACATTTTAAGCTATAAAATTCTAAAAACTGATTTTTCAATCTGAACAAAACCAATAGATTCACACGTGAAAACGGTGTGAATATAATATTATGTTGCGTCTATTATGAAATTAGAATCTAGTGGCATTGGTTGAGGACTTAAAGGTATGCAATAAGAATGTATACTTTTGGAACTGGAGAAAGGATGCATTCCACTTAGTCATTAGATATAAGCGAGGGCTTTATGATCTGTTTAAATTTGGAAGCTCACTTGATGATATTTTAATGCAAATAATCAAACAAAGTGAGGAACAACGGCAACATAATGAAGAACAACAACAACTTGCTGACGTTACAACAGATTCTTAAAGTATTTATGGTATAAGTACATAAAGTTTGGAATCCTATTAAGCGCAAAAAATAATTTTTCTATGTATTGGCTAGTCTTATACCAAAATGATCAAATAAACATATCAGACTCTTTGACTTTACTTAAATTTTCCTTCTTCCCAATTCAAGAGTCACAATGCCTAAATGTTCAGACAGGATCGTAGTCATAGAAGAGGGTTGGGCTAAAACATTTTTAAACGAATGTTTATTAAAGTTCAAGTCTGAATTAGATATACACAACATGTTTCAAGTCAACTTGACTGTCAAGTTGCATTGTAACGGTTTTTTTAAGATTTAAAATTTTCATCCTCCTTTTTATTACTTCAGAAAGTTTATTTGAGATTTTCTGTTGTGAATAAAGAGAAGTTTGTGAATTTTAAGTACTAAACGGTTAGTTCATCCACAAAAAAAAGTTATTCAAAACTAGAATCCTCAATTCAGACTGCTATAAATCAGAATCTTTACAAAAAGTTAAGAATTGTATAATTTATATACCCAACATAAGTGAAACGGTTACAAAGAGTTGAAATCCGAAAAGTCTCAGTGTTTTGTAGACATCACATGTAGAGTTCTTAGAGGAGAAAAAGAATTCAAAATATTGTGGATAGATTTTCTTTTATACGCACATTTTTCAACTAAAATTAGTTTTTCACAATGCCACGATCAAGAACAAGTGATAGTTTTAAAACGCGTAAGGACATTACACCGATTGCCGATACAGATTTATTTTTCCAAACATTTGAAAGTGAGTAAAATCGAGAAATAAAGACGCCAATGAAATAACAACAACAAAATGTTTTAAGCGGAAAATCAAAATTAATCATAACTTTATATTGCTTAAAATTATCATTCCAGAGCCCACACAGATTTACAGATATCTTAAAACGAGATTTATTTCATCGGTAAGTTTGATTTAAGATTGAACAAAACATTCATGAAAAATTGTATTAAATTTTGTTCAAGGATTTTCATTAGTTGATGCCATTCACCCTTACGATACACATACATAGTAAAAAAATTGTATACAACTTTATGCTATCTATTTCTTTTAGCCATTATTTCTTCATAGAACTCTCTCATATATGAAGGGTAGGACATCGAGGAATAACAAAAGTAGAGCTGAATTTAAAGTTAATGATATTCTATCAACAATTCAGAATAAGGATCAAAAACCAAATGAAAATGAGAATCTTATAATTGGCTTCCTTAGCTTTTATGATTCACATCTGCAAACTAATTATGTCAAAGTTGAGACAAAACTTGAAAAGATTTCGTATAAGCGACGAAAAGAGTCAGCAATGACACAGAATCAAATAAGAATTGGTGAATCTAGGGTTATTGTCAATACTGATAACAATGGAACTGATAAATTACCAGCTGTTTGTGTATCAGCAACAGAATTTGATCGTCTTGGCGATAATGTCCAGACAACTTATCAATTGACATTTGATATAGAATCACAGCCATTTACGGGTAGTACAACCGATGAGCCTTCAAACAAATATACATGCTATAGTAAGACATACCATGCTGAATTGCCAGTTTTTGATAAGCATGGACGTAATTTATTAGTTAATGGATTGTATCATGTGACTGCATTAGAAAGACATGCATTTCGTCCATCACACATGCTGTGTTGGGAGAATTTTCCGAGTGAGGCTGATCAACATATCGCTGACTGGGCGGAGGAGGTGAACAAGTATTATTTTGCTGAAGAGGACTCGAATCCATTTGTGACATTTGATAAAACGCCAAAGATACAATTGTATATGGAATGGACACGCTCGAAAATTACTGGAAATAATTATATTCCGAGACCAAAATTCATAACTGATCAACATAATAATAATAAGGAGAATACATCAACTGTTAACGGAACTGCCACAACTGGAACAGTTAATGGATCTTTATTAAATGGACATGATAAGAGTGAATTGCAGCTTGTGGAGAAGAAGGCATTCATATTTCAATTTATTGTCAATAACAGTACCAAGCAACGTACCGAAGAGAGAAGTGACTTTATATGTCCATGGTGTTCACTGAACTGCATTAGAATATACTCACTTATAAAGCATTTAAAGCTATGTCACGCTCGACTTCTTTTTCAATATGTTGAAGATGCCGGAAAGGCAAGAGTGGATGTCTACCTCAATGAACTTTATGATGGTTCATATAGCGGTGCACCGCATGACATCTTACTCGGTTCGCAACGTCAAAATGGTCCGAGTCGACGAAATGTTGTCACAAATATCATGGTCTTCAGACCTCGACGTCCTACATTTAAAATGAGTGAATTTCAGGAGGTCGACGATGGTGAACTTGAACAGCAAAGACAATATATTAGTGGACATAACCGAATTTATTATCATAGCGAGACTTGCATTCCTATTATGCCGAAAGAACTGGATTATGACTCTGAGGGTGAACCGGATCCAAGGTAAGATTTTTTGCTGAATTTTTTTGCATCATTTTATATTTAAACCTTGATTTATTTCCACTCAGATGGCTTCAACGTACCACAAAGCAAATGATTGACGAATTCACAGATGTAAATGAAGGAGAAAAAGAGCTTATGAAGTTATGGAACTTGCATGTTATGAAGCACGGGTAAGGATTTGTCGAATCAATACGAATTCATATTTTGTGTAAAGTAAATCTTCAAATCATTCCAGATTCGTCGGTGACTGTCAAATTGCACTCGCTTGTGACTTGTTTCTTAAAGAAAAGGGAGCAGAATTATTAGAGAAAAATTTATATCGTAATTATGTCGTGCATCTCTCATCGATGTTTAATTATGGACTAATTTCACCTCAAACTATCATTGGCAATATTCGTAGGCTAAATGTAAGTTGACTTTTAACGGATAGAACTTTTTTGAATAGTTTTAATATGTAATCTTATCCATGCAGGAAATGCTTAAGGACGATCAGGATGAAAATGGAAAACTAAAAGCAAATCGAAAGGCTCATGTCGCTAAGGCAAACATTAAACCAGTAGTAACCAAGAGGGAACCAGAGAAGTCAGAAAGTCAAGACTCAAAAGAATCATCAAACACAAAAGTTAATCCAAAAGACGAAAAGAAAGGAGGTAAAGTGGACAAAGAGAAAGCAACTGCCAAAGTACCATCAAAACATAATGAAGTCAATGGACATACTCCAAATTCAAAGCATAAGGGGAGTCTTGCATTAAAGAGGAAGCTGTCGACGGCATAGTTGGATGTCCTTTATGTTATGCACTGCATATGATTTGATGTTGTTTTTCTTATTCACGGTTTTATTTTATCATTTTTTCGCTTAAATAATTTAAAGTAAATTTTAGCTACGTATAAAGAAATTTAGTTCCATTTATAAATTGAATTTTGTACACTTTCATAGAAAGACTATAACACGAATGAACTTAATGCCATTTCTTCTATAATTTTTTAAGGAAGTTCACAAACTAATTCTCTTTCTTAATATAATCGATTATTTTATAACCTAATTTGTCATCTTAGCGATGATTATCTCAAAATTTCTTCACATTTGTCGGACTGTCCTGAAAAGCACTGTTTGTATTGCTTGGGGATGTCAAAATCATGTTTAGCAATGAATTCTTGTATAGAAATTAAAATGAAAAAGAATATTCAAAGAATGAAAAATGTTTAATAAAGGAATATTTAAAATTCTATTTTTTACATAATCAAGTAAGAGATACGGTTCGTGATTTATTAAGTAAGGAAGATTTGAATTATCCCAAACGCACGGAACAAACGAGTGAAAACAGGACTTTGTTGGAATTTGAGTAAGTGATCGCAACACAGAGGAAACAACAGTAAGCGTACCCTTAAGTCTCTTATGCCATAGAGTTAAGAAAACTTTCCAATATTTTTTGATTGAGAATTGAACCCAACCTCTTGAGATTTCAGATTACATGTGCCCAATCTAGTTTTCCATCTAATCTTTTGAAAGTTCCTTCATATCTTGACAAAGTGCCAATTTGAAATGCTGTTAATAATTTATTTGGAACTATCAATGAACAGCTAAATTTTGGAACCTCCAAAAGAACCAGTTTCGTAAAATCAACATCAGAAATTTCAGTTTATCAGATAAACTCTCTGAAAGCATATTTGACTATTTTTAGACTCACTTTAATCCAGTATCAACTGATTTGCATATCAGATAAACTGAGAACATATTCCGCTCAATCTTGCTGGATGTTCTCTCACTTTATCATATCTACATGTACATAGCATACATAAATAATGACAATAACGAGGCAGAAAATTTTTTTATTATGATTAATAAAGTTATTTTTGCACATACTCAATTTAGGCGGTCGGGTAAACAAGTGCGAATGTCAAGCAGGTTTTAAGGAATATTTCACAGACACAAGATGAGAAATTTAGCGATTTTAGTGACGATATTAATTATCATAGCTATGTGTCATGCATTTCTTTCACGGAAGATACCAGCACAAGCAGAAGGATGTGTTGAGGAACGATGTGGAACACTTTGTGGATATGAAGATCAAAAGTTATTTCCTGGAAACAGTCTTACAGTCTACAGAGACCTCACATGCCTTCAAATGATTTGCACAGATGACTTTCATGTCCGATTTGAACCGTAAGTAAACATTTCAATCATCTCCACTAAACATTTGATTTATTATTATCCAAAAGATGTCCATATGACGCCTCAGGTCGTTGCCATTTCGAAAATTACGATAGGAATCTCACGTGGCCAGACTGTTGCGGTATAAAAGTGTGCATGTGAAGTGTGTATTTAAACAATTTGATGTATTTTTGCTATCCAAAAGTCATGTTTACAAGGAAAAAAATAAAAAGAAAAAAATGTTTGGAGATGACGCATTATCAGAGCAGTTTGAGATGATTAGTGCGACCTTGACAATCATTAAAAATGCATAAAAAAATTAAGTTTGTTTGTATGGCGCTGGTTTTTTTGTGATTATCACATTTTTTTTGATGCTCTCAATTTTTATCGTGAGCTGAGAGATGTAAAATGAGCTTAAAAAGTAAGAAGCTATGGAGAGTAACAAGCTTTATTTATGTTTTATGTTGAATGATTTAAGCTTTTATGGAAAAAAATTTTTATAAGCTTGCGCTTGACTGGGATTTACTCTGCAGATGTTGTTATAATTTAATTTCTGCCTTACCAATTGGACTCTTGAAATGAGACTAATATTTCAGAATTGATTATGCCAAAAATCATCAACATTCATTTATCTTATCATGTGAACCATGTTTCAACTCATTACAAGCCTAAAACACCTATTGTTTTATGATAAAGAATAATTGGAAACCTTAAAACAGAATCGTAAATAAATAGTAAAATAATAAACGTTCTTCAATTCAAAAGGTTTAAATTCAGTCAATTTTAACAAAATCAGTTCGAAAAATCAATTTAAAAAAATTATCCATTTGTTAAAAAATGAAAATCTTTCTAGTTTTACTAGCTTTAATAAGCTTGTGTCATGCAAATTCACAGCCAATAATTCGAAATACAAAGAAATATGGCTGCATTGATGGACATTGTGGAGCACTGTGCTCATGGGAAGGTGCTAAATTATTTCCAGGATATAATGTCAATCAGCAACGAAAATGCAGACTATTGGCATGCAATCAAAACTTTGACATTGTCATCACTACCTGTCCATTTGATATGACTGGTCAGACTGTGTTTGTAGGACAAGATAACAGAAAACCATACCCAGAATGCTGTGGACGACGAGTTTCAAGGAATTTTTAATAAATATTAGCAATAAAATTGTCTTCAATAAATAAATGCAATGAGCAAAATATTTGAGTCTTTACATTGTAAGTTGACTAACCTTACTAGCCTTTAAGAGTCATCATTCTTTAAAACTACAGATCTAAATAATTTAACATTGATGTTTATCGAATGCTGCATCTTTCTGAGAATGAATCAAGAGAATCAACTGCTTTTTACTGCATTTTTATTTCTTAGATTCTCAGAAACTTCAATTGTCATAATGTATTTTTTATTGATATTCATGCTGTAAGTAACTTCAGGAATACTTTTGTGCAGTGGTGATTTAGTTTTGTTCCAAAAAAGAATATTGAGTTCAGCATCCTTGATAAAACCTGCTTTAGCTAATAATAAAAGCCTTATTAAAAAATTTCTGATTTTTGGAACAAATCAATTCGTTATCAATTAAGATTTTACAACTCCTTAAACAATAAAGAATATTTTAAATTCTGAGATAAGAAACCGAAATTAAAACAATTTGTGGTTCAAAATCGTAAAAAAATAAGCAACTTTCGTCACAGGTTACAAGCAATTAAGGTTATCGAGATAATACTAATAAGTCACTTAATTCTCTTGATTCTCATTGAGAATATTCTGCATCACAGAAAGTATATAAGCATAGACTCCGAGTGAGAATCAAATTAGTCTTTATCAAGCAGTTGTTAATAAAAGTTGTGAAAAATGAAAATTCTATTCAGTTTATTTGCCTTATTAAGCTTTATTAGCTTGTGTTACGGGTTCTCTCAGCCAATCATTCAAAATACTAGAAAACAGGATTGTATTGATGGACGCTGTGGACAACTTTGTGCATGGGACGGTGCTAAATTGTTCCCAGGAGATAATTTAAATCAACCTGGAAAGTGTAGATTATTGGCATGTAGATCAAACTTTGACATTGCAATCACACCATGTCCATTTGACATGACCGGACAGACTGTTTATGTAGATCAGGACAACAGCAAGCCGTACCCAGACTGCTGTGGAAAAAAAGTTCCTCGCAATAGAAATTAAGCTTACAAATGTAAAAGAACAACAGATCCATTAAAAAGTAATAAATTTAAAAAGCATAAAGTTCTCTTTCCGTCTCTCTCTCGCGCTCACTTCTCACGATAATCTTTATCTCTGCACGTAAACAAACATACTTGTGTACTAGCGTCGTATAGTCTCAAAGAGACTCATTTCTGGTTTTTTGTAAACGATTTTGCAACAAATATCAACTTGATCAAGGTTGGATCAACATATCTTGTGTTTATGTCTCTTTTTTCTTTGTAGTCAGTATGAACTGTCAGTTGTCTTTTGGATTTTAATACACCATGAGGTTACTTGTTGTGACTTTTTGCTTATCTACAATTATTTTTGTTTTACTTCCAATTGCAATCTCTTCTTCGTTTACAATCTTGAACTCGGTTGGTAAAGACTGTGATGAAGAAACGGGAAAGTGTGTCGAAATTTGTGAATTTGAGGATTTTAAGCTGTTTCCTGGGACAGGTTTGTAGAGCTTTGACTTTATATTAAGTCTTTGCTGTGGTTTTTGGTTCATCAAGTTAGTCAAAAAGACACCAAATCTGTTTGGTCTGACTTATTACCTTTTAAGTCTTGGGTTCTATTCCCACCGACAAAGATTCACCAAATTCTCACGAAATTACAGCCAGACCACTTGATTCCAAACATTTCTTTTCAGCTGACGCAAACAACACAAAATGCTTAGCCGTTTTCTGCAGCGAAGACTTCACCTTGACAGTCCACACATGCATTCATGAGGAAAATCCATCGTGTACATATAGTCATAATTATAAGCAGCCATTCCCCGATTGTTGCAATAAATTTTGTCAATCTATCGTTCAACTCAATTGATCTATGCAAAAATGACAACTGTACATACTTATTTTGTAAATTATAATTGATGCTTGTGTAAATAGTCGTAGGTTGAGTGGAAATAATAATAATAAAATCTTTTAAATGATGATTTAAATCTTCAAGTAATTAGAATTTGTTTTTGTTACTACTGAACTTTACGGTGTCATCTAAGTCGAGATGTTTTATGAAATTTGATTGTTTTTTAATTATTCTAAAGTTGTTACTGCATTTTACTACCTTAACAATTCGATTTTTCAAGCTAAACTTATTAAAGTTACAAGTTATTGATTTATGACTTTTGTGGTTTGCTTCAATGCACAATTTTAATTGATTTTTGTTGCAACTTTTCAGTAATATTAAAATTTAGAATTCAGTTCTCCTTTATAAGCCCCATTAATAAACTGCTGAATTGTCACTAGTCATTCTCAGTAAAATGAATAAGATCCATTATTCAGATGTATTAAATGAAATTTATCTGATAATACAATTATTCATCCAGAACTGCCCAAACTCCCAATTCGTTCATCCATAAACTATAAATCTTCTTTTGTCACTGATTTAATTCTCAATTTACAATTTCATTGTTGACCAAAACTGGTGTGATGATTAATATTTCTATTTAAAAGTTTGTTTCATAAAATAATCACTTGTTCATGATTTCAGTTTCAATTGTGCCTTACATTTTAGACTGTGTAGATCTCCAAATAATTAAGTATTAGAAAAATAATGATGATTCGCAATCGATTTAGTAAAACTGTGAGTTTTTTAATAATTAAGGAATCTAAAGGGCGATTAGGATTAGAAACATTCTTTCGGAAGGGAAAGATCTCTAAAATGATCCTTATTAGAAAATTTAAGTCATTGACACATAATAGTCAAATTTTTTCCAGTTCAAACGAACTGATTCTGTTGAAAGCGACAATGAAGACCAGCAAGGAACAGAACGGAAACAACTTTTAACTGAGGTGATTTGAAAAGTCTTACAAAACTTTTAAAGATCAAATAATCATGAAATTTGTAAATTCACAGTCACTGCCAATCAGAGAGGAACTCAAAACTTTACGCAAAAACATTGATTCAGTCAAGACTTCATTGGAAAAAGGTTTGAAATTTAAGATTAGTAAGGATTGGTTACTCGAAAAACTCAAATCTAATCCCAGAGTGAATAATCCTAAATTCAATTAGTCAGCACTCGATTTGCCAATTAAAATTTTTTATTTATCATTCATTCAAAATAAGACATTCAAGCATTGATGCTGAGTATGGATATTGGAGTTCTGAAGAACTTTTTAAGTGTATGAAATATTTCTTTTGTACTTGACCACAAGGTTATTAGAAGATCTTTTGTTTTTAAGGTGTCCGAGTCTATTCAAAAGCTGCAAGAACAATGGTTGTCGCTCTGCACATCTGAGATTAAAACGAAAATTATCTTCAACGAACTGACCTACCTCAATACGGAATTCTTTTATGTCTTTGAGTATTACAAACGAGCTTATGATATTGTTGAGAAATATTGCTCGAGAATTCATCATGAGGCTCAAAATTGTATGTTATTTATTTTCTTACGGTTGCGTCTGTACTTAATTTATAACTTTATCTGATTTTAATTTCAATTTTTCTAGTGTCAAAGGATCTCGAAGACAAAGATGTTAAAGAATGTGAATTTGAAAATGAGCCTACCTTAGCTACTCAAAGTGTAAGTTTATGAAATCTAAATTCTAATGACTAATCACATTGCAAATCATTCCTTCTCACTAGGTCGATAAAGATCATCAAGAAGAACTTGATCAAATGACTCAACGAGCCTCAGTTCTAATGGAAATTGAGCAAAGCTTAGGAAAAGTTCGTGATAAATTTCTAAAAATCTCAACGTTTGTGAAGGATACAAGTTTCTCAGTCAAAGGACTTGATGACAAAACTGATGACACTGTTAGACAAATTGATAAATCAATTAATAACTTGATGCAGGAACGACTTTATCCTAATAAAGTTGAGAAGAATATAATATTCATTGGCGTTGGATTATTGATAACAGCTGGTAAGTTTATTGAAATATTTATAAGATATTCTGTTCGGATATGTAGGTTACTTTTTGGAAGCATAGTGTGCTTCTTTGTTCGATTTATACTAAGACTTAACTCAATGTGCTATATTTTCTTTCCAGTGATTGTGTACTTGATGTTGAAAAATTAAGCACATAGAAATTCAAAATGAGAATATTTAGATGTGAATGCAAACCTTGCTTTCAATAAACATGAAAATTCATAAAATAAAAGAAAATTTGTTTAATTTTTGATTCAAAGACTTACTTGATCGAGCTTCAATCCTCTCCAAACAAAATTTAATTCTACGAAAGCTTTTTTCCTAGTTAAGAATGAAGCTACAACTTATCAGAAAAGTTTGAAAAAGTTTATATGAAAAAATTACAGAAAATTGCGCATCATTGAAAAGTATTGGCACAAAGAGAATCAAGTTGTATGATTCTCTCCTATGCATTTAGTTGTTATCAAGTGATCATACTTAAAGGGTGCTATTCTAAATGTCTGTTGCTTATTTTTCTATTAAATGTAAATAAAAAGCTCATTATGAATTGTCGTATTCATTTTATATTAAAAACAATAGATTAAATGATTTAATGAAGCAAAGTAATTAGGAACAAAATTAACTGACAAAGTAAAGTTCTAAAATTCTAAATAGTTAAATTTTCAATCTTATTCATTTTTAATTTTGTTTGAATAATTTGATACTTGAAACAAAGTTACTTGAGTGAAATGCAGGCTATATGTAGATTCAATGTCAGATAAAATCAATTGATAGTCGAGTGTTTGCAATCTTCACTAATCATCATACACTCATTCCTATATCCATTTATTATTAATTAAAAAAAATATGGAACATCAGAGTAATCAGAAGGTTGCAGACAATCCTAAAGAAAATGCAAACTTACTGTCAAAAATCACATTTTTTTGGACTGTGAATTTGTTCAGAAAAGGATTTCGAAAAGATTTGAAAGTTGAAGATTTATACAGACCATTAAAATCTGATGAATCTGAGAGACTTGGTGATCGGCTTGAGAAGTAAGTTATATTGTAGCTTAAAAAGAACAAACCAAGTTCAAACTTTTTGCCTTGAATTGGCGCTTAGTAGATAACCCAAATTCCTTTTCCATCATTCCAACCTCTTTTGAAAATACATATAAATTTAAAAGCTATCTTCCACACTACAGAAACTGGAATGAACAAGTCACCAAAAACCCCAGCAAACCATCGCTTATAAAAGCCTTATTCAAAACATTTTGGAGAGAATATTCAGTTCTAGCTTTTCACATAATACTTAATGAAATTTGTGTAAAAATATTACTTGCCTTATTTCTTGGAAGACTGCTCGATTATTTTAGTCCAAATTCAACTTCGTCTAAAGGATCTGCATACATAAATGCTGGAGTACTTCTTGGACTCAATGCAATAAATGCAGTGACTGCAAATCAATTTCTAGTTACAAGTTATTCAAATGGAATGAAAGTTAGACTCGCGACATGTTCCTTAATTTATAGAAAGTCATTGAGACTTTCAAGTACAGCACTAGGAAACACATCAGTTGGAAAAGTCGTCAATTTACTAAGCAATGATGTATCACGTTTTGATATTGTCTCTGTGGTGCTACATTATATGTGGGCAGCACCATTATTAGCCATAATTGTTGGTGCACTGCTTTACATACAAGTTGGAATTGGTGGACTTATAGGAATGCTGGTTATTGCTGTTGTCACACCACTTCAATCCTGGACAGGAAAATTAGCATCAAAATTTCGACTACAAACTGCCATTCGGACAGACGAAAGAGTTCGATTAATGGATGAGATTGTCAATGGCATTCAAGTAATTAAGCTTTATGCATGGGAGAAGTCATTTAAAAAACTCATAGCACTAGCAAGAAAGATGGAATTAAAAGTTATAAGAAAGGCATCATATGTGAGAGCATTGTACATGACATTTGTGCTATTTACCACAAGATCAGCACTGTTCTCCACAATGATGGCAATTGTAATTCTAGGAGATGAGCTGACAGCTTCTAAAGTGTTTGTCATCTCATCGTTGTACCAGATTATAGCTACTGTACTGTCTCAAATGTTTGTTCGCGGGATTGCTGAAATAGCTGAGGCTCTTGTGGCTATGGAAAGATTGCAAAACTTGCTGGTGTGTGATGAGAAAATTGAGGATATAATGATAAGTGATAAAGTGTGCAATGAGAATGGAAATGGTCTTGCTAATGTTAAGGACAAGGCAGATGATAAAGTTCCTTCAAATATTATCCTACAAATGGACAATGTTTGTTGTAGATGGAATGCCATCACAGAAGAGCCAAAGACTGAATGTAGACTAACCCTAGACAGCATCAACTTGACAGTTCATAGGGGAAAACTAATAGGAATCCTTGGTCATGTTGGAGCTGGAAAATCAAGCCTTCTACAGACAATACTTCGAGAACTACCAATCGACAGTGGAACTATGTCCATAAATGGCAAAATATCATTCGCTCCACAAGAATCTTGGGTCTTTTCAAGTTCCATTCGTCAAAATATTCTATTTGGATGCCAAATGAAAAAGGAACGATACGATAAAGTAGTAAAAGCTTGTGCCTTAGATAAAGACTTTGAAATGTTTCCGAAAGGTGACTTGACAATAATTGGAGAACGTGGATCTTCGCTGTCAGGTGGCCAAAAAGCACGTTTAAGTTTAGCACGAAGTCTTTACAGAGAAGCTGATTTATATTTATTTGACGATCCGTTATCAGCTGTTGATGCGCACGTCGGTAAGCACTTATTTGAAGAGTGCTTATCAAATATCGGATTTCTTGGCAAACAAGATGCAACTCGAGTGCTTGTCACGCATCAAGTTCACTTCCTGAAAAATGCCGACTGGGTTGTGTTGATGAAAAACGGAAGAATTGAGAAACAAGGGCATGCTGACGATATATTGCAGGATGAGAAAGATATCAAGGAAATCGCTGAGGAGGTTGAGACATTTAAGAGGTCGCTTAGTAGATCATTGTCTGTAGCTTCAACAGGCTCAAATCTAAGTGACACATTAGACAATAGCTTTGGAGATGATGATGAGATAGAACCGGATGTTCATAAAAATATCGAGGAATCATCAAAAGGAAAGATTAAAGGGAATATAGCTTTACATTATCTAAAAGCTGGCGGAAGTATCCCAAAAATAACTTTTGTCTTTGCCTTGTTCCTTATTACCCAAGCAATTGCATCTACTTTTGATTATTATGTTGGATTTTGGACCGATCAGGAAGAACTGAGAAGTTATTACAATAATTCAACTACAGTAACTGATGAGGAAATGAGTTATTTATTGGATAGTAGCTTATTGATCTACATCGGTGGGATCTTAATCGTCACTTTGTTTTTTAAAGCCATCATACGATCGATTTTCTTCTACTCAATAACGATAACTGCTTCAAAAAACCTTCATAAAATGTCATTTGAAGGAGTCATATCCACTAAGATGAGATTTTTCGATCTCAATCCTTCAGGAAGGATCCTTAATAGGTAAAACTGCTCTTATGTAGCTTCATTGAGTTATTAATCTTAATTAAAATTATATTTAATTGAATTTAGATTCAGTAAAGACTTAGGAGCAATTGATGAGTGGCTTGCCAAATGTCTTCTAGATTCTGTGCAAGTCATTCTTTTAGGAGTTGGCTCAATCGTCATCACAACTATCATAAATCCATACTTTTTGATACCTGCTGTGATCTTATTCATCATATTTGCATATCTAAGAAGATTCTTCCTTAAAACATCCAAGAATCTCAAGAGACTTGAAGGAATCACAAGATCGCCAGCCTATGTTCATCTAGCAGCAACAATCAATGGATTGAGTACAGTTCGTGCTTTTGGGGCACAAGATATATTGAGAAGAGAGTTTGATCAGCATCAGGTGAGTTTCTTTGAGGCTTTCAAGGCGTTAAAAGATTTGATTTAAATTTATGTCTAGGATCTACACACGAGAGCTTGGTTCTTATACATCAATGTTGCCCAAGCATTCGGATTCACCCTAGATGTATTGTGCATGATTTTTGTAAGTTGTGTAACTCTGAGCTTCTTAATATTTGAAACTAGTAATCGAGGCGCATCTGTTGGCCTTGCAATAACACAATCAATGACATTGACATCGATGCTTCAATGGGGAATCCGACAAAGTGCTGAGGTCATGAATCAGATGATGGCTGTCGAAAGAGTTTTGGAGTATCAAGGACTTGGTATGTCAATTTTTTAAAAGATGAGTCAGGATTAAGTCCCTGAATTCTAAATTAATTCAATACAGAGCCTGAACAAAAGGAAGTAAAGAAAGTTGCTGACAAGGATTGGCCTAAGGAAGGAGCAATAAAGTTCAATAATGTAGTCTATAGATATGCCAAAGAAATGGAACCAGCTTTAAGAGGAATAACATTTTCAGTCAATCCAAGTGATAAAATTGGAATTGTTGGACGAACTGGGGTTAATAGTTTGAGCTGTTCTATAACTTTTTCATTAACTTTAATTCTTTCTAGGCAGGAAAATCGTCGCTAATTGGATCGCTCTTTCGAATAGCTGAGATTGAAGGTGAAATATTGATAGACGATATTGATACCCGTGCCTTAAGTTTAGAGCAATTAAGATCCAGAATAGCAATTATTCCACAAGATCCAGTGCTGTTCTCAGGTATTATTCTGAGTACTACTCAAGAGTTATCTTAGAGTGCATAAATTTCGTTTTTACAGGCACAATGAGGAAGAACTTGGATCCATTTGACGATTATCAAGATGAAGCCTTATGGAAAGCTTTAGAAGATGTGAAGCTTAAAGAGATTGAAGGATTAAGAACTCAAGGTCTTCAAGCCTTAGTTACAGCAGGTGGAAGTAACTTTAGTGTAGGAGAACGTCAGCTAATATGCCTGGCAAGAGCTATATTACGACAAAATAAAATTCTCGTGCTTGACGAAGCGACAGCAAACGTAGATCCTGAAACAGATGCGCTCATTCAACAAACGATCAGAGAAAAATTCGTACATTGCACTGTGCTGACAATTGCTCATAGACTTTATACAGTCATGGATTCAGATAAAATATTAGTTATGAATTTTGGAAAAGTTGTTGAGTATGACTCGCCAGAGAATTTACTAAAGATTACTGATGGTACTTTTAGAAGTATGGTTGATGCAACAGGCACAACCGAATTTAAGAATTTGTTGTCTCTTATAAAGAAGAATTTGTAAAAATTTGAAACTTAAAACGACCAAAGCTACTTAATTGTTATTGTAGATACTGTACTTATCACTTTAGATTCTAATAAATTTTTGGTTTGGGTTTAATAAAATAATATAAATTTAAAAATTTTGAACTTTTAAGGTTCAATAACTTAACTAGAACCAAGAAATTGAGGTTTATCAAGCCTTTTAGGACATTTTAAATTCTATTTCCTTATAAAATAATCCTCATTTTTATTTATAGCTACTGGGTCAGTTCAAAAAAGTATTTTTGTGTAATTCAAAATCATTCACTTACTTTTAAAAGCTCTTCATCCTTAAATCACAATATGATCATACAGAATCTTTCTAGCCATATGCTTATTTCCCGTCTGCTTGTAGATAATATGAAGATTATAAGCAATTTCCATTTTAAGATCCAATATGTCAGGATATTGTTCAATAAGTGGATTTGTAACTTTTAATGCTCGTTCATAATAATCCTTGGCGACAGAAATGATTCCCATTTGATGATACAATCGTCCAGTATTGTACAAAATCTCAGCCATTGCTTCCGGTTCTCGTGACTTTTGATATCTTTCCATATAATACATAGCTTGAACAAGCAGATTTTGCTTCCTTGTCGTGTACTTTTGATTTGCAATTTGTGAATATAAAATAGCAAGAATCATTGCAACCATTGGAATTTGGAAGCGCTTATAAATCTCATCGTAATGATTTAATGCAAATTTGTAGCTATTTGAAAGTAAAAAGTAGTTTGCAATCATCATGTAGACTAGAGGTGGAATATTAGATGCATATGAAGTATTTCTGTCAAACATTCTGATTATAAATCGATGATATCTTGTGTCTTGTGTCACATAAACGATCAAATTAAATAAATTCCAAAATCTTGGCTTGTCACGATCACTTCCTAAAAATTCACGAATTTTGTTATATCCAAAAACATCTTCCTTATTAAACAGACAGGCAATAACTCCCATAAAGTCAATTTCTCGAACGTGTGACTGCAGACGACGACTGGACATTCCAGCAAATGAGATTCTTTGTAAATGAATAAATTTCTTGTGTTTCCATGCTGTATTAATTAAATCACAAAATAATGTCCAGTCATCGGACACAGTTGGTTCATCTTGCTTGCTAAATTCTGGCGTATCTACATCATCAATGACTTCTTCACGATTTTTACGTAAGTTCTTTAATTCATTTAGTCGATCATTTGTTCTTGTAAAGTTTGAGACTATTTGGACTTCCTGACGTGATCTGTAATGGACGCAGTGTCTTAATAGCATCATATACCCAAATTGTAGATATTCATCAATTCTGCCAAGATCCCGTAATAATAAACATTTCTCTTTAAGAAGTTCTGTTGACATATTTTCAGTTTGTGGATCTTGAGTCAAAGCATCAAGTGCTTCTGTCATTCTCCCTTCATGCTTTAAAAGTGCTGCTAATGTCAATCGTGCATCATTATGTTGACTAAGTTCTACGACAATTTTATATGACTCAATTGCTTCTGGATATTTATCCATAACACGAAGACAATCAGCATGTTTAAGCCATACAGCTGCTAATGAATATGTTTTACTTTTTACTAAAGGATCAAGCAGCCTTAAAGCTCCAGGAAAGTTTGATTTAAGAATTAAAGCTTCAGCTATGTCCAAATAACAATCACCTCCATTTTCGACATCAATATATAACAAAACATTGTCAATTAAGACAGGAACTAAATCATCAGCATTAAGATGAATAAGACAGATGCACATTTTAGTACGAAGATCCATAAGCATGTTTTTCGGTATTTCAAGGTCTGAAAATTCATAAATTTCTTTCCCTTTGACTTCCTGTTTTGCTTTAAGCTTTAATCCAGTATGTGACATGAGAATTTCTAGGCATTTATAGAATTTCTTGTTGCTGATTAGCAATTCGATTAATGAATGTAATTTGTCAGCTTTAAAGTATTCCGGAACTTTTTTATAGACTTTAAGCATAGCTTCAAGTGACTTGCTTATCAAACCTTCTTCCATATATTTTTTGGCTACAAATTCAGCACGATCAATAAGAAATTCATGATCTTCTTTAGGGATAAATCCAAGCATGCAAAAACTACAATGTAGAAAATGTTTTTTGTCACCAAGTTTCTCGAGAATTTCAAGCCTTTGCATTCTAATTGAAAGATTCTTAGGATCACATCTAGTTGCTTTGGCGTAGCAGTATGACGCTTGCTTTAAATTTCCTCTGTCCACAAAAGCCTCAGAAACTTGAATCCATTGAAGAGAAGTTGAGCTTAAATGAGCAGCAAGGAGCAATAAATGGAGATACTTTTGTTCGTCGGTACTTTCGTATATCTGTGACAATGTTATGTATGGTTCTCCTGCCATCGGTTCTTGACGAATGATTTCAAGACACAACTTTTCACACATTGCAGAATCTCCTCGAGCAAAACACAAATTTGCTTCTCCCATTAATCCTGTAAAACATTAATTTATCAATTTGATTTAGCAATAATAATCTATTACTTACCCTGTAAAGCTGACGATAATGCTCGTTTGGACTTTTTGGCATGGTGAGTTTCGGCTTTTTCAGCTTGTTGCTTTGAACGCGTTTTAATCTTTTTGACAACTGTATCATCGTCAGAATCGTCACTTTGATCATCGTCTGGAACATCATCAAAGGACATTTCACTCATACGGCTTGCATATTCAGTATAACTTATTTCCTCATTCATAAATTTTCTTAAAAGTATCGATTGCAATTTTTCTGTTGATCCACCCTTTTGTCGCTGTTTCTTGACTTTTCGAGGCTTCTTTGATTTACTTGCTGCTTTCTTTAATCTCTGTTTTACCTCCTCTTCCTCACTATCATCACCAGAAACTTTATAGTCTGAATCTGCAATAGAATCTCCATCAAAATCGTAATCCTCGTCTTCTACAACTGGAATTTCTTCTGCTTCAACGAATTCTGATAGTTCTGTGGTTGGAATGTCACCTTCCAGCACTTCCTCTATTATATATTCACTCATTCTTTAATTATTTTAACATTCCAATTTAAAAACAACTTTTAAAATTTCCGAAGTAATCCGAACGACACTTAACTCGAACATTTTTTGAAAATCAACCGTAATTTCTTTGTTTTTGCTTTTATAAACATTTAAACTCAATCATTTGATGAATATGAGAGATTTCAATAAATTTGGATGGTTTATGTGTTGATTTTTTAATTAATTAATGATTATTTTGATAATTTCAAAATTTTTTAAGCAACGCTTTTTTAAAATTTGAGTTTTTATCAAATCCTTGATCAGTTGTGAAAATTGAAAATCAAAATTTTGTTAAATATCAATTAATGTAGACTTTTTATAAGACTTACGTTGCTATTAATTGACTCTTAAGTGAATTTAGCTACCTACCTGATTCATAAATTGGTCCTTCATATTGAAATAACAACAAGTTTCCGATTTATTAATTTTAAAGCAATTTTTTTCATGGATAAGGTTGATTTCAAGTTTTTAAATTTTAACTGAAACTTGCTATAATATATTAAAATCACTTAAATTTGGGAACAACGGTATGAAGCTAAAATAATATTCTTCTTCTGACTGACATTGCGGTTTAACTAAGGTAAGCAAATTTTAAATAAATATTCGTTGATTTATGAGAAAACTTCATATTTTTCTCAATCATACTGCAATTTAGCACATTTTAAACATCAGATGTTTATTCAAATGCTACATGCACAATACCGCTAAATCATCAATACTATCAAAGACTTTAAAATTAAGACTTTCTCTAGAAAACTCACCGTCATAATTCGATCCAATTTGATACACTTATAAGATTTACACGTTAGCACTTGAGAGATCCATACATTGTGCTACTGACGAAAAAAATTACAGAAGTCCTCGTGTTATTGATCGAGAGACTTAAGCGCATTTTTGTGTTAGCGATCAGTATTTGATTATCTATTTATTTTGCGTTCATTTACAGAACATTAAAAGATCATTAATTTTAGTGCAATTAGCAAATAATTACACTGAATGCTTATATAGAAAGGCTTTGTTATTTAACGGTCAAAAAATAATTTGAAATTTTTCCCGCTAAAAGTTGCACTACGAAAACATTAGTTATAGTATAATTAAATAATTTGTTCCAATGAATTTCCATATATAAAAAGTTTATCATTTTTGAGATTCAAATTGAAATTGAGATTCAAATTTTCTAACGGTCAGTAAGTTTTTGAAAGCTTCCCGCCAAAAGATATACAAACTAGTGTATCGGGTAGAAACCCAATGCGGATATATTCACACCGTACCATCAAAAGCCTTATGGATAGACCAAGATTTGCTCAGCATAAGTTTGAAGGGTGGGCGTGAAGTACGGCACATATCGACACAGTTCAAAAGATATACCTAATTTATGTCATAATTATGTCAGCTACAAAAACACTTAGTTTGAATTTTGTCACCCTCGGGAACACTATGAACCAGTATAGCTGATTTTGGTCTAAATCTCGGCCAAACTTCACACTTATTTGAACCACATTTTCTCGTAAATGTTGAAATATTATTAAAAAGTAATTAATCCTGAATTATGTCGCTATTTTGTCAAGTGTTTTAAGATAAAGAATTTGTTTTTTGGTTTCCACAGTGAAGAGTATGAACAAAATTCAGATGGGGTAGTCAAAATTTTAGATTTCGGTTTTTTTTAAGCTATGCATTACAAAAAGTAATATTGGTATGTGATTTATGTCAGAATTATGTCAATTCAAATAAAACATCCAAAAAATTTTTTTGACAAAAGTACACCATAGAAAATCAATTTTCAATTTTGGACTAGGGGCGACCCTAGTCAAAATCAATTTTGTCACTTTTTTCTTTGAGGGTTTATCCAAATGGACTATAACTTTGCAGAAATATTCACGTGCCTAAAACAAATACAAATAAAACATCCTAAAATTTTTTTGATCAAAGAACCAAGTAGGAAATACAATTTCAATTTTGGACTAGGGGTGACCCTAGTCAAAATCAATTTTGTCACCTTTTTCTTCGAGAGTTTATCCAAATGGATTGAAACTTTGCAGAAATATTCAAGTGCTTAAAACAAATACAAATAAAACATCCTAAAATTTTTTTGAGCAAAGAACCAAGTAGGAAATACATTTTCAATTTTGGACTAGGGGCGACCCTAGTCAAAATCAATTTTGTCACTTTTTTCTTTGAGGGTTTATCCAAATGGATTAAAACTTTGCATAAATATTCTAGTGCTTAAAACAAATACAAATAAAACATTCTAAAATTTTTTTGAGCAAAGAACCAAGAAGGAAATACATTTTCAATTTTGGACTAGGGGCGACCCTAGTCAAAATCAATTTTCTCACTTTTTTCTTCGAGAGTTTATCCAAATGGATTGAAACTTTGCAGAAATATTCAAGTGCTTAAAACAAATACAAATAAAACATCCTAAAATTTTTTTGAGCAAAGAACCAAGTAGGAAATACATTTTCAATTTTGGACTAGGGGCGACCCTAGTCAAAATCAATTTTGTCACTTTTTTCTTTGAGGGTTTATCCAAATGGATTATAACTTTGCAGAAATATTCACGTGCCTAAAACAAATACAAATAAAACATCCTAAAATTTTTTTGATCAAAGAACCAAGTAGGAAATACAATTTCAATTTTGGACTAGGGGTGACCCTAGTCAAAATCAATTTTGTCACCTTTTTCTTCGAGAGTTTATCCAAATGGATTGAAACTTTGCAGAAATATTCAAGTGCTTAAAACAAATACAAATAAAACATCCTAAAATTTTTTTGAGCAAAGAACCAAGTAGGAAATACATTTTCAATTTTGGACTAGGGGCGACCCTAGTCAAAATCAATTTTGTCACTTTTTTCTTTGAGGGTTTATCCAAATGGATTGTAACTTTGCAGAAATATTCACGTGCTTAAAACAAATACAAATAAAACATCCTAAAATTTTTTTGAGCAAAGAACCAAGTAGGAAATACAATTTCAATTTTGGACTAGGGGCGACCCTAGTCAAAATTAATTTTCACTTTTGTCACTTTTTTCTTCGAGAGTTTATCCAAATGGATTAAAACTTTGCAGAAATATTCAAGTGCTTAAAACGAATACAAATAAAACATCCTAAAATTTTTTTGAGCAAAGAACCAAGTAGGATTGAAACTTTGCATAAATATTCTAGTACTTAAAACAAATACAAATAAAACATCCTAAAATTTTTTTGAGCAAAGAACCAAGTAGGAAATACATTTTCAATTTTGGACTAGGGGCGACCCTAGTCAAAATCAATTTTGTCACTTTTTTCTTTGAGGGTTTATCCAAATGGATTGAAACTTTGCATAAATATTCTAGTACTTAAAACAAATACAAATAAAACATCCTAAAATTTTTTTGAGCAAAGAACCAAGTAGGAAATACATTTTCAATTTTGGACTAGGGGCGACTCTAGTCAAAATCAATTTTGTCACTTTTTTCTTCGAGAGTTTATCCAAATGGATTGAAACTTTGCAGAAATATTCAAGTGCTTGAAACAAATACAAATAAAACATCCTAAAATTTTTTTGAGCAAAGAACCAAGTAGGAAATACATTTTCAATTTTGGACTAGGGGCGACCCTAGTCAAAATCAATTTTGTCACTTTTTTCTTTGATGGTTTATCCAAATGGATTAAAACTTTGCAGAAATATTCAAGTGCTTAAAACAAATACAAATAAAACATCGTAAAATTTTTTTGAGCAAAGAACCAAGTAGAAATACATTTTTAATTATGAACTTGGGACAGGTCTAGTCAAAATCTCGTTTTTCACGTTTTTCCCTTCGAGGATAAATCCAAATACAGTAAAACTTTGTATGAGCATTCTAATCTTCAGGTCACACATTTCTGAATTAATAAAAATAATTTTTTTGGAAAAAATTTTAAGTCACGTTGTTTTTGAATGTGCAACCAAATTTATAAAATTTGGGTCTGACGACATATAGAATACATTTCTTGATTTAGATATTTAAAACTGTTTTGTATAAATATTAGTATACTCACACAAAGTTTCACTGTAATTGGATAAACCTTCGAAGAAAAAAAGTGAAAAACTAGATTTTGACTAGACCTGTCCCAAGTTCATAATTGATGAATTGTTTTAAGCACTAGAAAATTTATGCAAAGTTTCAATCCATTTGGATAAACCCTCGAAGAACTAGTGTATCGGGTAGAAACCCAATGCGGATTATATTCACACCGTACTATCATAAGTCTTATGGATAGACCAAGATTTGCCCATCAGTAGTATGGAGGTATGAAGCTTGATAAGTCAACTAAGCTTCGCTCAGCATACGTTTGAAGTAATAAAGCTATCGCGTAAGCTGAGCTACGCTCAGCATAAGTTTGAAGATATAAAGCTAGAGTGTCAGCTGAGCTACGCTCAGCATAAGTTTGAAGATATGAAGCTAGAGAGGCAGTGGAGCTTCGCTCAGCATAAGTTGAAGTTATAAAGCTATCGCGTAAGCTGAGCTACGCTCAGCATAAGTTTGAAGATATAAAGCTATCGAGTCAGCTGAGCTACGCTCAGCATAAGTTTGAAGATATAAAGCTTGACGAATATGCCAAATATTCTTTAAAAGTTTTTTAAAAAAAAATTTCATCCAAAGTTGAATTTTATAAAAATCACAGTCAACTTTTGTTTTAAAAATTTCGTAAGAAAGGAAAGTTTTTTGCCATTTCTGAAGCAACGGCTGTTCCTACCTTGCCCAAAAACAATACAGCTCTTCTATAGAGCAGCACGGATCAAATGTAAAAAACTAGAAGTCTCTACGATGTCTCGTTATTGAGATTTCTTGCTGATTAACTTGCTTGCTTGTTTGCTTACAGAAAGCGTATTTTGCGATTTTCTCAGCAATGCCACAACCAATTTGAAATCTGTTTTTTGAAAATGATGTAAAATTTCAGGCATAAACTTTTCTTCTGTGACCTTTTATAACCAATTTTGCTTTGTTTTCTCACAAAATGCGAAAAACTGATTTTTCAATCTGAACAAAACCAATAGATTCACACGTGAAAACGGTGTGAATATAAAAATCATTAATTATAGTATATTTATCAATTTAATATCTTTCATTCTCCTATATAAATTGTTTATCATTTAACAGTTTTCTGAAGTTCAAATTTTGTAACGGTCGTATGCATTTGAAAGTATCTTGTCAAAAATTACAGTAAAAGCATTAATTATAGTATAAATAACGGTCTGTTGCAAAAAAAAAATTTCATATAAAAAGGCTTGGTAATTTAACGGTTTTTGAGATTCAAAATTTTTCAACGGTAGAAATAAATTCGAATTTCTAAACGCTCTCATCACGTGTTTTTTCATATGAAATATAAAAATCATTAATTATAGTACAAAAACACTGTTTCAAGACTTTTAAATACGTTTCCCGAAAATAAAACAATGGACCTGAGCTAATGAAACAAACTAGAACTCTCTACGATGTCTAGTTAAAAAGTTTTTCTCCGCCCGAACGAACAGACAAAGTGAGATATTAAGCTACCTTTTAGAAACAAGTTTCAAAAATGCGCTAAAAAGAAATTCCAATTTCTCGTTTAATCAAACTGTATGATTTATTTTTATTGAATATAATTCTTCTTTTAAATAATTAATTATTTTCTTAATTCACTGCATCATTAGTTATACAAAGAAAGAAACGAGAATGTTCATTCCTCCTTAAAGTCGGTCGGTCTGTAGTCATTAAACATTAAATTGAAAAACTGAAATCGTCAATTGAAAAAAAGTCTGGGATTTTTCTTAATAAAAATAATAATTATAGATGTTCCAAAATTTTTTTTAATATAATTATTTACTACCATCACCCTTTATATCGCCGTCAGTTATTGACATCGACTGCATGCGTGAATGGAAAAGAAAAAAATTAACATTAATTTACGGCTCTAGTGAGAAATAAGAAAAGTATTAATTAGCTTACATTCATTCCGTCATTAATTTGATCTTCATTTTTGTTATCGTTCTGTATAACAGGCGTTGGATCTTTCAATGAAATTATATTTGTCATTGGACGTTGTACGAACATATTATCCAAAATGTGATCTATATTCTCAGCACTACCTGCACCACCTTTTTCTTCATTGCTTTTATCGTCATCAGCATTTGATGAGCTTGTTTTTGACTTATGATCTGGTGGCGCTAAAATAGGAATAGGATTAGGACGTCTCTGTGGTTGAATAATTCTCTGTTGATGTGCTGTCTGCATTTGTGTATTAGGATAATACGTTAGACCACCTTGAGTTTGATATATGGGTTGTGGCTGAGTTTGTGCAGGAGGTGGAGCCTGTTGGGGTGGTGGAACAGTTGCTGCAGGCTGTGGTGGTATATTATAATTCTGATAATTTGTATATTGTGGATAAGCTGCTGCAGGAGCTTGTGGCTGAATTGTAGACACATAATTTAGAATCTGTTGTTGCTGTGTCGGTGGAGTTTGTGTAGGCATATAAATCTGTGGAGCCTGTTGTGGTGGCAAGTATTGAGCAGGTGGTGTTTGCTGTGTATATTGGTATTTTTCTACCATTGCAGCCTGCATTAAAGCAGCTTGTTGTGCTGCATATTCACTAGCAGGATTGGCAGCATAATAAGCTGCTTGATATTTTTGAGCCTGTTGAGTTTGGACATTTGTCGCAGGTTGGGGGGGAGGGGGTTGTGTGGCCATAATACTTGGCTGTGTTTGAGGAGGAGGAGCTTGCTGCTGTTGTGGGATATACGTAGGAGTTTGTTGTGCTGGCATCACATTTTGTACGTGCTGAGGATCAATTTCTTGTTGGTGATATTGTGGATGGTATTGTTGAGACTGCTGTGTCTGTGGACCCTCATTGAGATTTGATCTCTGACGTAAACTTGAATACCGTTTTGATCTCGACATATCAGAATTATTAATCATAGATTGTGATGGATCTGGCATATTATTAATCTGTTGATGCGATGAAGGTGGACCTTGATTTAAATTCAAATTAGTCGCCTTTCCTTGTTGCTGTTGATAATTCTTTTCCATTAATTTCATTTGATCCATTTGATGTTCTGTATATTGAATATTTTTATTCGGTGACATTGCTGATTGCTGTTGTTGATTAGAGATTTGTGTATGCATCTGCTGATGCTGACTGTTAACCTCTTTTTCACGACTTGTTCGTCCATAATTGCCTGATGAATTGTCAAAGTTAAGAATAGTTCTTGACGAAGTTGGAGTCACTGATGAGCTATTTGTTGTAGCATTATTCATTTTACTATTTGTAAAACTCAATGTTGGCAATGGAGCCTCATTATTATTAAATCTCTGGGTCGCTTGATTCTGTTGTTGATGATGTGAGGAAGGACCCTGCGATGACGAGTGACTATTATGTTGATGTGATGACGATGTTTGATGAGATGATGTCGATTGCATTTGTTGATTAAGGACATTATTGTTTTTAGTTTGGGTCGACTCATAATTAATATTTTTACGATTTTGATTTTTGAACTCGATATTATGATTAAAGTTTATATTCTTTTTGCCTTTTACATGGCGTGCATTGTTATTGTTGCTATTATCATTATTATAACGCTGATTTCTTTGATCCCTTGAACTACGTTCGTCGCGTGGCTTCAAATCTCGATTTCTAACTGGCGAGCGATAATTAATTGAGGATTGTGGGTCATTCTCATCTTGTGGTCTTCGTCTACGCGATCGTTGATTTAATTTAGATGATGAAGAACTTTGATCTTTTGTAGATCCAAGTGCTGGAAAATCTTCTGGTTTTAGTGGACGTCGAGGTGGTTTAATAGCTGCCTGTGTTTTCTTATAGGCATTTTCATCTTCCCAATTTCTAGAGTATTTTATTTGGTGTCGTCCATATCGTCTTTGACGTCTTGGACGTGGTGGACAATCTTCATTTCTAATGTCATAGCCATAGGCTGAAACTAGCTCTGAGCGAGATTTTGGTGCTTGTTCATATTCATTGAATCGATCGTGTGACCAACGATCGGCTGTATCTTTCACCTTCTTTACTTGCTTAGGTGTAACTTTCTGATTTTGTGTTGAAAGCACTTTTGTACTTCCAGATAAACCTTCTGTACTATTATTTGCATTTTCTGGAGTTTCTTCTCCTTCTGCATCTAAATCCTCAGCAGTACGGTCGTCATGTTCATAAAATGTTCCTTTCTTCGGAATATACTGTGGATTACTTCGATCTTCATCGTGATCTACTTTCTTTTTTGCACCGCTCTCACTTTCTAGTTCTTCTTGTCCATCGCCAGACTCTCTTTCATCATCGACTACTTCATCTTCGTCATCTTTAAAAATGCGTGGGCGAGAAAAAAAAGTGTTTATTGCACAATATTTTCGTCGTCATTAATGCTTTTAACTTACCAGTGCCTTCCTCGTCCAAACTTTCCTCTTCACTGTCTTCATATTCATCGCGCTCATTATCAGATCTTGAATTAGTACTTGCTGTATCATATTCAGACTCAATTCCGCCTGATGTCGGTGAATTTTCTGTTAAACTCTGTAGAGAAAATTATCATTAATTTTTTTTTTCGGAAGATGAGGAACGGATGAAAAATTTCCATGATTAAGAAGAAATTTTTGCATCGTGTAAGTTTTTGGAAATTTCACTATTGCCGAATCGATCAATCGTTCGCAATTATTTCCAAGAAAATCACGTTATTTAGAACAATAAAGAAATTTTTCCATTCAAAATGGTCTTCATATTGAAAATTTGCAAAGTGTACACAATGCTTTCAAACTGTTTTTACCATTGTATGCTGTTTTTCTTCACTCTCATCAGCACTACTTCTGTTGACAACATCGGTCATGATTTACTATAGATATTTAACTATTTTTTATTGTGTATTTCTACAAATTTTATGGAATTTAAAATTTTTCTTTGAATCTTATATTTTTTTCTCTTTTCTCAAAAAAAAAAAAGTTTCAGCGAAAAGTCTTCGAAAATAAATATAAAGTAAGAGTTTTTGGTCTTTATCTGTCTGTCTTTCTATGCCGCTTAATTTTTTTAAGTATTTTTAACCGTTACGAAGTTTATTGATTTTTGTTGACGTTCTTTGTGAATTTATAATAACTTTCGAACAAAATTTAAAGTTTTTGAATTATTTGTATAGTTTTGGGTTGTATTTTAACAGGTAAATGATAGTTCCTAAATGTAGTAACTTCGTAATTTGGATGACCGTTCAAAACACCTAAAGTTTTTTTACCTCTAAACATTTAAAATATATAAAACCTAAAATTTCTACATCTAGAGTTTTTAATCTCTATATACATTTGTATATAGGTGTTAAAAACTGCACGTGCAGTTTTAACAAATGTATATAGAGATTAAAAACTCTAGATGCAGAAAATTTATGTTTTATAAATTTGAAACGTTTAGAGGTAAAAAACTTTAGGTGTTTTGAACGGTCATCGTAATTTGATGGCAAATGAAGTTTCTCAAATAAACATTAAGAATCTCAAGTTTCAACTATTTTTTCCAGATTTTAATAAGTTTTTGACAATAAATGGCTAATAATCTTCAAAATTCAATTCATAAATATTAAGTTCATCAGAATTGAACAACCATCAGTTCCTTAACCCAGTGATAAAAAGTTAATTAAACAATATTCATTCATAAATTTAATTTTATTCAAAACAGATCAATTTCGAAAATAAAATAAATTTCACATTAGTTCAGTTTCCCCTAGTTCAACACATTTTACTGAACGCAACTAAACGCGGTCAAGAAGGTGGAAGAAATAAGCCGCAAAAATAAAAATTTTCATCATAATTATATTTTCTAATTAATTCAAATTAAAAATTCAATCATGGAGACTGAGAAAGCGATTCCATCGCTTGGCAATCGGATTTTATCAAAGGAGGATCTTGCAAAGCTGCCAGACGATGTACGCTCAAAGTATGAGCTATTCTTTTCTGAATATCTAGAAATGAAGGCACTTTATGAAACGCAAAAAACAAACTTAGGTGAGCTTAATAAAGGGTTTGTTAGTAGTTTTATGGATAAGTTGCTAGTAACTCAGAAATTTGACTAAGTTCCACAAAAATTTTCTTCCTCATTTTTTCACTTTGTTAGACATAAAGAAGAAAAGTAATGGCTTCTCGTGATCTTTCCTGAATTTCAAATTTTCTTATCATATCCATCAATATAAACATTTTAGATATTGCTGTTCCTACATTCTCTTGTTTTTATAAATAATAATCTAGTTCCTAAAGACTCTCCAAATGTATTTACATATATTAACAACTTTATTTTGGCGGGTATTAATGGAATCGAAATTTTTTTTGCATTAAAAAAACAACAACAATCTAACCTAATCCATTTTTTTATGATTTTACAGATGGCTTCCGAACAGATTATGAGAAGAAAATATCAGAATTAACAGAAAAGTATCAAGATGAGTTTGCAAAGGCTCAATCTGCACATACATGCATTAAAGAACTGCGCGAACAGCTTGATGAAGCACGTCAGGAAGTATCAAAATTGTCTGACAATTTAAAGCGTAATGAAGCAGAATTAGTAGAATATCGTAAAGATCGACATGGTGTTGTTGATGAACGAGATAGTCTTATGAAAATGGTTGAACGACGAAACTTTGAAGTCGAACGACTTGAGGATGATATTAAGTCATTGAAGCAGCAATTGCAGTCAGCAATTAATAATAAATGTGAAGCTCTTTCCAAATATGATGAAATTCAGCATAAGGAATCCACAATTGAATTTAAGGTGAGTAGATCATATCCCTTAATGCAACTTGAAACATTTTTAATATTAAATTAATTTTCTAATTCAGGAAAAAAGACTAGAACAAGAGCGAGTTTTACTTCAAAGTCAAATCGATATGCTCACAGCTGATCTCAATCGTAACATTCAAGAATTACAAAAATGCCGCAAAGATTCCACTTCTCGTTCGATGACAATCGAAACGAAACTTCACGAGAAGACCGAAGAGCTCAACATTGCCAATTCACAGATTAAGCATTTATCGGAAACAAATACATCACTTAATGCACGAATTGATGAATTGTCTCAGCAATTGCTTTCACATAGTGATGAGTTTGCCAAAATGATGGAAAAATATCAAAAGGAATTGCAGGCTAAGACTAGATTGGCTGATTTGTATAAGGAAAAGAGCGAAGAAGTGTTGAATGAACAACGTGATATTACAAATGTAGTAAGTGACTTGAGAACGACACTAAAAGAAGCCACAGATGAATATGGTAATTTAGAGACAAAATATAGACAGTTGGAAGTTCAGCAACAACAAGAACTTGATAAGAAGAACGAAATCATCAACAATCTTGAAGATGAACTGAAAAATGCCAATGAATTACTCAAGGCAGCCCAACAAGAAAATATTGATATTGCTGTTGAAAAGTTGTGTCCAGCTGCAGCAACAACAAGCAAATTGATTAAATCTGGAAAGTCTCTAACTGAGATATATTCACTGTATGTCAACACGACTGAAGAACTTACTCGTGTAAAGAAGGAACATGAACAGATGAAGCTAAGATTCTCAGAAGTATTACAGGAAATTCAGGAAAAAGCTCCAATCATTCAACGCACACAAATTGACTTAGAAAAGGCAACAGAAGCAAATGGTGAGCTTAACAACCAACTTGAGACATTGATTCGTGAACGTGTCGATACAAGACAACAAATCGATGAGTCAATGCTGAAAGTAAAGAGTTTGGAGTCACAAACAAAAGAACTTCTCAGAGATCGTCAAGATTTAAGTCGTCAAGTTTGTCACTTACTGCAAATTATTGAACAAGCTCGTGGTGGTCAAGGACCTCAACATGATGAATCAATAACGTCAGACATGAGTGGAAATGAAGTGATCACAAAACGACTTGTTACATTCGCTGACATCCAGGAACTTCAACAGAATAATGTACAACTGCTTGCAATTGTTCGTGATTTAACAGCTAAAGTTGAAGAAATGGATGAAATTAAGAACCATATGGATCAAGCAACTTATGAAGCTAAAATTGAGAACTATACTAGACGTTTACAAGAAATGCAAGATAATATGGAACTTCAAACTCGTATGATGGAGAAATGTATTACTCAACGTGAACATTACAAAAAGTTGTATAATGACATTAACAAGAAAGGTCCAAGCAAGAATACAAGCATTAATGAAAGTTTCATGGACACTAATGATGATGAAAATACACCAAGTGTAAGCAACACCAGCCTTAACTCAGCTGGTCTCAATTCAAGTATTGTTGTTGAAAAAGAAAAGCGAATTACTGATTTAGAGAAGAAAGTCAAGCAAAGTGAGGGTGAATTGAAGGTGTTGAAGGAAGAATATGACCGTTATCGTAAAGAGAAGCACCAGAATGATGAAATGCTAAATAAACAATTCGATGGTTTACGTACAGAACTCCGTGAAATTTCCACCGTTAATTGTAAGTTGAAGGCACAAGTCGAACATCATGATGGACAGCTTAAAGTCCAACAAAAGAATGTTGCAACATATAAGAAGCAGATTCAGGCTCTTGAGGATCGTAATAAGAATTACGAGTCGACAATCATCAAACATGAGACAGCGATGACATATTTGCGTAATGAAGCAATGGATTGTACAACAAAACTCAGTCGTGCTGAGATGATGATTGAAAAAATGACACAAGAGAATCGAATGCTCAAAGACAGTGAGACACATCTCAAGGCTGAACGTGAAGTTCTCTACCGTGAGCGTCAAAGTAATAATTTGGTATTGAATAATTTGGAGATGATAAAGACAACAATGGAACGTTCTGAGAGTGAAGGTAAAATGCGTTTAGAATCAAGATTAGATGAGCTCACCCGTGAATGTTCAGCATTACGTAGAAGATTACAAGAAGAACAAGACAGATTCCGTGAGTTATCATCTCACCTTGAACGTTCTGCACAGACAGCAAAGGAGAGAATGGAAGAAGAGAAATTACTCGCATCGAAATTTCGTGATGAATTAACACAAGCACGTGAGGAAATAGAAAGAAAGTCACAGAAAATCGATCAACTTTCTAAGAAATTGGAAGCTTCATTGACACCATCGGAACATGATAATCCTGTTGCACAAGCAAATAAATTGAGAAAGGAAGCTGAGATGAAACTAAATGAAGTTATTCTTGAAAAGGAAGCACTTGATAAGGAGTTATCGTTCTCTAAGCAACACGCAAAACAATATTGTGATATGGCTGAATCTTATGAGAAACAATTGCTTGAACTTAATCAAACATACTCTGAATACAAGGCACGTGTCGACGTAGACTTGGCTGAAACCAAGAAGAGTGAGGCACAGTTGAAGCAAAAAGTCAATGATTTAGAGACTGAAATTTCATTAGACATTAATAATCGTCAACTAATGGCTGGTGATTCCAACACTCAATTACATAAAGCTCAAGTGGACCTTAAAGAGGCGCTTCTTAAGATAAGCGAAAATAATCGCGAATTACGAGAATTGCGTGAGAAGTCATTAGCTTTATCAACATCACTTGACTCAGCTGAGCAGAAATATGCTAATGAGATGATTTTGCACTCGAATGACATCAAGACAATGTCACGTATGAAGGAAGAAATGTCATCGATTCGTGTACAATTTGATCAACTTAAAGTTGCACGCGAAGCTGCTGAAGATAAATTAGAGAGCGGCAGAAGATTGTGGACAGAACGTGAAGAGAATTTAACAAAGGAAAAAGCTGAATTAGAGCAACGTCTTGAAGATTTAGATAAACAAAATGTTGCACTCCACGACCAAATTCAAGCATTATCGACAAAATTATTCCTCAATGTCTCCCAATCAATGGATGACTCAGCAATGCATGTCGATTCAGCAGACACATCAATGAATCGTTCTGTTGTCACAGACGATGAAAAGTCAAGTGAGCAATTGTTGCAAGTTATCAAATACTTACGTAAAGAAAAGGACATAGCCATTGCTAAATTTGATATTCTCAAGTCTGAAAATGCTCGATTGAAATCAGAATTGCAAATGATTCAAAAGAAATTGGATGAGACACAAGCAAATTACATCAATCGTCAAGACGAGCCATCTGCCATGAATAATGAAAGGCATCAAGATTTATTGAGAAAAGTTGAGACACTCAATGCTATCACAGACAGCAATCGAATATTGCGTGAAGAGCGAGATGCTTTGTCTATTAAATTCAATGCCCTTCAAGAGCGTGTCACAAAAGTCGAGGATGAGTTAGTTCCCCTACAAGAGAAGAATCGTGAATTGGAAGCGAAAAATGACACTCTTGGTACAGAGAACACTTCATTGAAAACTGAAGCAACTCGTTGGCGTCAACGTGCCAATGCATTAATTGAAAGATCCAATAAAAATTCACCCGACGATTGGAAACGATTGCAAACCGAGCGTGAAAATCTTGCTAAAATGTTGCAGCAAGAAAAGGACCAACATAAAAAGACATCTGATGAAATCGTTCAAGTTAAACAAGAGAAAGTTCGCATTGAGAATGAAACTTCAAATTTACAGAAATCTCTGGCAACAAATCAGAATGAAGTTAAGAGATTAACTGATGAGCTCACTCAACTTCGTCAAACGAATGCTAAAATGAGTCAAGAACTTCTCGAAACAAGAGTACGTGTCGATGGTAAGGAGGATGACATGAAGAAGCTCAATGATGAAATTAACAATAAAGAGACCCAATTGAGTGCATTGAAGGAGAAGGAAATTCAAATCAGAAAGATTGCTAAGAGATACAAGGATCAATATTTGGAACTTAAAAATCAAGTTGATTCAGGAACAGTTCCAGTTATTAGAGAAAATGAAGGTGGTGACACAGCTATGGTCGAACCAAGTACAAGTCAACAAGATCAATTAATTGAAGATAATAAACAATTGGAAACAAAACTTCAACTTTTACAGAAAGAAATTGAATCTATTCGTAACGATAATAGTCAGCTACAGCAAGTTAATACAGAACTAAGAACGGCTATTACAAAAGAAGAATCATGTAAGACCCTCTTGCTTCAGGCGAAGAACAAAATCGCTCAATTAAATGAGAAGAAGGAACAGCTTGCACGAGAATTGGCTACAAAAACAACACAACATGAGCAGCGTAATGATGAACATGAGCAAGTTATACGAAATTTAAAGGCACAATACGAGTCACGAATTCAACGTTTTGAAAAAGAGATTAGTGACGCAACAAATGAGAAAAACGAGATGCTTCAAAGGCTTAATCAATATCGTCAAATTGGTCCTAATCAAACATCCAAGCCTGCATCAAGCACAATGGAAAAAATTACCACTGATGCTTCTTCAAGAACTGCTAATGTAAAACCTATGGCCGGTCCGAGTCAACAATCAGCCACCGTACAGCCATGGCGAGGAAATAACTCAGGAGACACTCCATTGGCTTCGATTCGTCCAATTTCAGTTCAAAACGCACGAACAGCTGCAGTAATGCCAACGACAAATACACAAGGATCTTCACAGAGTACCACTACGTCCTCGTCAAATGCTGGAACATCTTCAAGTGTAACAGCTTTAGTTCCACCACAACAAGTTCATACAACTGGTTCCCAACCAGGTGAGGCTATGTCAAGCTCACCAACAAGCTCTCATACTGATTACATGCCAGCTACTAGTTCAGCAACAGTAGTTGTAGCTACTATTCCTCCAATGGGCTCAAATGCAGCTGAAAGCTCATCACAAAGTCAAGAAGTTGATCAAAATATTGGAGGTGAAAGTTCAATTCAGATTGTCACTGGTGGTCAGCAAATAACACAAGCTGTTGCTTTAGTATCACCACGTGTTGAAAATCAACAAGCACAAAATTCACAAAATTTTGACAATCAAACACCTAGTACATCAGGAACAACGTCATCATCAACGGTAAGTAAAATAATAATAATTAAATTTTAATAACCAATTATTTTTATGGTAACGGATATCATGCATAGTATGGGATGTTGTGTGAGGATACAACTTGACCACAAACAGTTTGTTTTCATGACAAACTGAAATTTATTTTTACATTAAATTAAAAACATGATGTGAACGATATTTTAAACAATAATAATTTAATTTATTTCTCCATATAGGCTCCTATTATTGCCATCAGCACGCATCAGCAAGCATCAAGCAGTAATGCAGTAACAACAACTCAAGCAGGCTCTCATAAACGCCAACGTGATGAAGAAGGAGATAGTTCAACATCACATGATGAAAATCTTAATAAACCAGTTCCACAGAAACGAACAAGAGTTCAGGAAGGTACTTTCCAAGGTGTTTCGGAATCAGGTTTAGAAGTTGAATATCAAGTACCAACATCATCACAGCGTGATCAAGAAGACGATCCATGTATTGTATTATCTTCAGAAGAAGATGACGACGATGAAGCAATGCCTGATGAAGGAAATGCTGAAGCCTTTGAGAATGATGGAATTGAGACTGGTTATAATTATGAAATGGAACCTCAGGAAATGGAAGAGGGACCCGATATTGATGATATTCAATCTAGCGCTAATAATGAAGTTGAAGTTGAAGATTTATCAGAAGTTCCAAGCTCAGCTGCACCAGCTCAAAGCTCTCAACCAATAGAATCATCAGCAAGTCGTCAAGGTGAAAATCAACAACAAATACAAAGCATTACTAGTGGATCGGGAAACGGTAATGGCAACGAAGCTGGACCAACAACATCAACAAGTGGAACTAGCTCCTCTTCGTTAAGCCCTGCCGCAATTTCACAATGGCGTCAATCTCCAAATGCCTCAACATCGAGACAACAAGCACAGCATTTAATGTTAATGGGTCAATCTTTCCAAGATGATGCCGGTGATGATAGAATTGTTCCAAGTACACCAACTCTATACTCACGATCTAGAGGAGATGGATTCTCAGAAGTCGTTTCATCTCCACATCCCGCTCAAGTTCCTCATGCTGCTGCACGATTCACATTTGGCGAATCTTCATCATCCTCTACTACACAGAGTCGACCATTAGGTGAGGGTATGGATGACACAAGAATAGATTTATCTGAAGAACACAGTCAAGTAGCTGGACGAAGTGTGCCAAACATTCCTCAGCAACAACAACCTTCGCCTGGTGACAATTTAATTAATGACTCAACATCGGCCAGTACAAGTTCAACATCATCAAGTATGTCGACTGTGATTCAACAAGATATTCTTGAACAACCGGTTCCAGGATCTAGTAATCAAGAAGAAAGTCAAGTTCCTGAAATTAGCATAACAACTGATGAAGGTAAGTCTCACAAAATCCTTCTAAAGGAACATCATTAAAATTCACGACACATATAAAAACAATTTATTATTTTTAATTAGAATATGAAGGTGCATCCACATCAGAAGGTCAAGATGAACAAGAAAAGGCAGAGCAACAAGACGAAGGAGATGGAGTGAGTTCAGAAGGTGAAAAGTCATCAGTAACTGGAGTAGCTGAGGTAAGAAAAAGAAGCTATAAATTCAAAATAATAAAAATATTAAAAGATTAAATTTCACATAAAGGATGAAACAAGCGAAGCAGATGTTCTCGAACAGCCACAAAACTTACGAACAACAAGATCAGCATTAAATCGTGGTGCAAATTCAAGTCCACCGAGGGGAGGCAGAGTAGGACGTGGATCGCCTCGTGGTAGAGCACCAATAACATGGAATCAAGATGGAACACAAATGATGCCACAACAGCTTGGTGGTAAGTTAAAAAAAATAGTTCAGAAAAATTAATTTTACTTTCCGAAATGCAGGAACAAAAAAAATAAAAATTTAAATATAATTTATTATCCACAGTTTCTCCAAATCGTACTCAATCATTCCCGAACCCACGAGGAGGAGGTCGAGCACGTCGAGGTGGTAGAGGTCGCGCATCTAGTAGTTCTCCGTATAATAATATGAGATATTAAAATAATATATGCAGGAATTTACTGTGTATTATGTGAAGCATAGAGAGGAAGGAAAGGATATGAAACGGATAAAATTTATTTCATTACATATAAAAAATGCTTATTAAGAACTCCTTTTTAAAAAATCATAAATTCTAACTATGTATATGTAATGATAATTAGTTTTTTAAGATTTATGATGAACATGCATTAGACATCCATCATATAACATTTATATAGTAATTTAATATTTAAGTCGTTATTTCTTCTTTCTTTTTCTGTTCTTTGTCTTTCTTTTTCTAAGTGAGAAAAAAAAATATTTCAATATTATTACATTTTAACATTAATATTATTATTATTATTATTGACTATTAATGTCAAATTTGAAGAAAAAAACAGTAATTTCCTTTAGAGAAATTCCATTATTATTATTTTTCATTTTTGTGATTCTCAGAAATGTCAAAAGCATTGAAATAAAATGAAAAGTTTCTTTCTAAATGGATTCTTAAATATAATTCTCGATAGTTTGTGTTTTTATTGTTGACTAATCTTGGGTCTTGCTATTTTCAAGCTTTAATCCACAGAAATTTAGATCAAATTTTGATATTCTTTGTATTAACAAGTTCATTTCTAGATCTTTGATGGTTAGGGAGATTAATTTCTACAAGGATCACGATTGTGCTTTTACGGTTAAAGGAGTAAGTCTACATGCTTCCACTAAAAGCTCAATCTTACAAATTATCCTTCTAATTTACAGAACAAATAGTCAAAATCATTATTCCAATAGATTTTTAGAATCCCATCTGAACATTTGTGTTAATTCTTTAATAAATCATCAGACTTTGTGGAAACCGAGTGCGTACAGTTTAAAACCAATCCATCCTATGCTCCAAAAGCACATTGACTAACAATTAAATTTACACATAATGTGAGTTCCTCGTAGACTTTGTTCACAAAAGAAATCTAATTACGAATGAGTAAAATTTCATAGACGCACGCATATCTTGCTGCTAATCTAATCGAATTTATCAAAAAATACGGCATTAAATTCATTTAACAAAATAAAATTGTTCATTTCCTTTCATCCTTAACGAGTGACATTTTCTTGTAGATTCATGTCTTTATTTCAAAACTTTTATTGAGAATGTATCACAAAGACTATTAGCAAGAAGCAGCAAGCAGCAGTGAGATGAGGGAATAAAAGCTTTATGCATGCATAACAAGCTAATGTTCTTGCTACTTGCTACACGATATTCCCGGATGATGAATAATTAATCATGAGGGAGCTTCTGTAATTCAAAAGTCAAGTGCAAAAGGTACTAAATACATACATACACACACATCTCTTCAGTCACAATGCCTTTTTAAGAAAATGATAAATGATGATATCCGGAGTGTGAGGAAGGTTCGTCATTATTTTTGCTAGTTGACTTGCTTAATAGAGGAAATGAAAATTTTCAATGCCATAAGTATGGAAAAATTACTTTTGTTCTATGTTTTACTCCTCATTTTTTGTGAGGGCAAGATCAGAAAAAAAGGGAATAAATATTCAAATTCAGATTTCTCTGCTTTTAATAACTTAATTAATATGATTCCTTCACTACATGATAGCTAATAATAGTAAGTTTCTTTTTAACATTCATTTTTCAAAATGGCGACTTATTAAGCTAGTTTAATTAACAAATTAATATTTGAAATCGATTTTTCTTTGAAAAGAAAGCAAGATAAATGTTTGGAAGCTTGACAAAAGTTGTAGAGCTTGCTTTTTTCTATCATATGATCTAAATAGATTTTATCAAAAATGAGTTATTTTAGTTAAATTAACTGAAAACCAAATTGAATGTAAAATGTATTTTTAAATCAAAACTATTAACCTTAATCGGTCAAGAACAATTACTTGATATCTAAAGAGTCTTTTACTATTTAATTTACATTCGAAAAAGGCTTAAAAGTAAGTTAAATTAACTATAAAAACAATGAAATTTAAGTTGAGCAACAAATTTTGCTCTTATTTGCTCACAAATTTATAATTTTAAAAACCGTTACAAAATTTTTGGTCAAATTTTTTACTATAATTTAATTTTCTCTGCTTGTCTTGAACAAAAAGTAATATTTCTTTTGCAATATGATAAACATTGTTGAATTCTATAGTTTGAAATGAAAAAATCAGTAGACGAATAACACAGCAATGACTTATGACTAGTTTTGTAAAACTCATCATAACTTGGTTAATTATAGTAAAATTGAAAATTTTCTCTTACAGACTTAAAGAAAATTACATATGTAACCTTTTTTGTAAAGAAAGATAGTTCCTAAACTATTTCCTTCATATCAAAATTTCAGCTTCAACATTTTAAAGCTGAATTAAGCTAACTTACAAATCCGCCATTTTGTATATTTTAGACAAAACTTTTAATGATCTGATTACTGAATTATCTGGTGAAAAAATCGTTATGATTAATGAAGTATTCGCAGAGATATTACATTTGCAACATGGTGTAAAATCGAATTTCCTCAAAATTGTTCGTGACGCTTAGCACTTTAAATTAATTTTTAATTATAATACAATGTCTAAGAGATAATTGTTATACACCAAAATATAGGTCTTGGCAAGGACTTTAAGAAAAACACAAGTCTTAAATACATATTTCGCATTATTGATTCAAAAATTGTAAATTATTGTTAAGCGTCACGAACAATTCATTTTTGATCTTGCCCGTGAGCTTTTCTGTCCTCCCTCCCAACTCCCTCAACTCATCAAATTTCATTTTCGTTCCTGCTGTTCTTGTTGCTTCAACTACAATGTTTAACTCTTTCATTGTCGGATTCTTTTTCTCTGTTTTTTGTTTAAAATTTGTAATGGAGTTGTTCATAAATGATGTCAATCTTTGAAGGGGTACTTTGCTTGGATATTGCACGAGCACATCCTTGTTCAGAGATATTAAATTAATATTCAAGTGAGGGATTAGCTGCATATCAAGAGTTTTTTGGACCTAGAGCTTAACAGAGAATTGCCTGGGTTCAAGGCTAAAGCTACCATCAACAGTTTGGTTTCCAAATTGATTTAGAGACGTCATTTAGCAACATTCCTATTACAGAATTTTCAAATGAATTCTTATTTTTCTGATGAGATATGGAATTAAATTTTATTAGCTGTAATTTGTCAGGCTGTCCTTTTCTCCTTTTTCTGTAGTTATGAATAATTATTTGGCCTTAATTACTAAGAGACCTTCCATTAAGTGGTTGACATTCTCTCAGTGAATAAGTAAATTGTTGAATGTTTTTCTTTATGATGATTTCTTGTTTATTTTGCTCTTATTTAAGAGAAATTGAGTTGAATTTTCCAGATGTGATGATGATGAGCTATTGTTAATGATGATGAAGAAAAAAAAATAGTGCTCTTCGGAGAAACATTTGATGGAGATTCCGGTTACATCAGATAAGGTGTAAATAATTATTTTGGATATATAAAATGGCTAAAGTTGTTCACTGATTAAAGCTTAAATTTTGAAAAGTCAAATAATAAATTTGGTTTTTTAATGAATCATTAGCTTTGGAAGTGAACCTCCAAGTCTATGATCCTCAACCTCATCCATAACATACAAAATTCCATAATAAAAAAGCGCAATAAATTTTCATCAAAGCAACAATCCAACTTCCTTCAATCAACATCAGTAACATCCATGTACGAACATATGCACGCAAAAAGTTTCATCAGAAAGATAATTTTTCATCAAACAAGACAAGTTTAATTTTTTTCTTCCTTTACTTTCTTTCTTGTTTTACATAAGTAACATTGTGGATGTATAATTTTCATCATGAATATGAGCATAGAGGAATGTAGCATTTACAAGATTTATTCGACAAACGAGCGAAGCAAAATGAGACAAAATTAAAAGAGAATGAAGAAATTTTGCGGAGTATGTTAAACATCAAAGATTGCAATTTTCTGACGGGGCTATAATATTCAAATTTACTTAATTTTCATTCTTGGAATAGGAGGAGCAATTTTTAAGTCTATGATGCAGGATTGTAGTCAGCGTATTTTGATTTTTTGAGCTTTTTTTGCTAAAATTAGTGGCTAATGCTTATTAATTAAATCAAATGTAACGAAACTTTACAACCAGGGTTGCGATACAGGCACCTGTGCACAGGTGAGAACCGTACAATTCCTTGATAATTTGTAAGGTTATATTAGAATGTGTCTGGTTTTGTTAGAAAAACCTTATAAATTATCAAGGAATTGTACGGTTCTCACATGTGCAGCCTGTATAGCAACCCTGTTTACAACACTAGAATCAGCCCTAATCAATATATTTCAAATCATGAGCAATCGAGTCAGGCAATAGAAATTAGTCAATGAAATATAAGTCAAATTAATTGCTAGTCAGCCTTCCTAGCTACACTCCTGCCACAAGTACAAATTTTTTAATTAAACAAAACTCTTTCTATGTCTCGAAATTGCTCTCTTGTTTCTTTTTGTGTTCATGCTTTACGCAATTTCCATTTTAATTACATTTCTGCAGTCTTTTTTTTTGAGCAAAAATTTTCATCGCCTCAAATTTTCTTTTATTTTCAAAAATGAAAACTTTAAAAGCTTTTTGTTTGTTCACTTATCAGCACGATTCCTTCTCCTTTTTTTTGGACTAGGAAAATAACAATGAACAAATTCCTCATCGATTTACAAACTTTTGTAAAATTTAATTTATGGGTGAATGTGAATGGGAATGGAAAAGTTTTTCTAGCAAAGCTTTTTTGTTGTTCATGGAAATTTTCTATTTGATGTTAGATGTGTGCATGGAAGTAGGCTAAAATGGGTTTTAATTAGAGTGCACGAAAGTTTTTATCTGATGTTCAAAAATTTCAAATGTCTGAATGCAATTCCATTTGTAATGCAAATATCAGTTTGTCTGAAATCTGTTGTTTTCATTGATTAAAGTTTAAATTTTATAACTGTCAATATTGCACTTACACTTATATTTACAGTTGTTTATGCTGCACTCTAAATTTTGCATTTTAATTCAACCGACTCTCATCTATCATCACGGTAGGGAATTTTATGAATTTTTTTCTCACATAAAATCTTTAAAATCCCCCAAAAAAACAAATCCAAGGACATTCCATTAGAAATAATCATGAATTAGAAAACAACACATAGAATATCTTAACATACAATGTGAGTAAAGAGGTGTAGTGTTATATTTTCATTTCGTATATGGAATGAGGAAAAAAATCTAATTTAAATTCAAAGCTTGAACTGAGTTTAATAAAATTAAGTGCTAGTAGAATTTATTTGCTGTCATGATTTACTGTCGTTGTTGCTACATTCATGTATTTCCATGTATTTTTCATTGTAAACTTTTATCTCAATTTTTATGTGAACCAAAACGGCAGAGAAATAGAAGCAAAAAAGCAAAGTTAAGGGCGGAAAAACTGAAACAAAATATAAATTTACAATACAATCGATTCATGACTCTTGCATTGAAGAAAAAAGATGAATGAGTTTAACTGTGGTCAGTACAAAGGGGAATGAGAGTTAAATGAAAAACTATTTGAAATTTACCACCTTTCCTCTTTGACCCTTTTATTTTAAACATATTTTTTGTTTATTTTAGTTTGATTTTTAATGGTTTGACGATTTGTCTTATCTTTGATTCAGTTCAATTCAGTTCATTTAATTTCATTTCAGTATATTTCAATTCAGTTCAATTCAGTTTAATTCAGTTCAATTCAGTTCAGTTCAGTTAAATTAAATTCAATTCACTTCAATTCAGTTCAATTCATTTAAATTCAGTTCTATTCATTTCATTTCATTTCAATTCAGTTAAATTCAGTTCAATTTAGTTCAATTCAATTCAATTCAGTTCACTTCAATTCATTTCAACTCATTTTAATTTATTTTAATTCATTTCAAATCATTTCAATTCATTTCAATTCAGTTCATTTCAATTCATTTCAATAAAAATCAAAGAATC